CATCCTGGGGAAATTATTTCCTCTTACAAGTGCATCGACACCTCTTTGTGGTTTGGCAGTTGGTGGAATTAATACACCTCTTGCATTAGTTTCTGTCGCTGGTGCTGGAGAACCAGGGATGTCAGATGTAGAACTTGAAAGACAAGTTCTTTCATTTACAGGTGTTCTAGGATTTTCTCTATTGATTTCCTCCTGTTCCTTTAGTCTTTTTCCAGAAAGTATGAGTGAATCCGCATCCAAGAAAGATTCTCTTGCCTGTGCAGTGTATGTTCTCTTCTGCTGCTTTTTTCTTCTCCCTGGCAGCTCACTCTGCCTTTTCTCAGAGCCACTGGCCTGGTAGGGAAAATGTTCTTGGCTATCACCTGTTCTTTGTATATGTAATTCCTCCACAGGGCCATGTCCAGGGTTGAAGGACTCAGGCTCAAAGTCAAGTGTGATAGGTGTTTTTTCTCCAGTTTCTTCATCCAGATGGGTGTTGATTTGTAATGTGTCACAAGGAGATACTTTATTTTTAGGTTCTGAGAAAAAAAATATATAATTAAATAATTTCCTTTTAAATGAAGCAAAAAATATCCCATTATTTATTTTTAAATATTATATAAAAATACTATTTATATGAAAGAGTCAATGGTATTTCATTCAGGCAGATCAAAGTTCAAATTTTTAATATTCTAATACACTTATAATTTTAAGTAAATGTAAAAAACAGAATTATGCTGGAAAAAATGATTTTAAACTAAAAGATAATTTATTCTTTATTGCAATCATCTTTGTTTTTTTCTCCAGCTTTACTGAGGTACAATTGACAAATAAAATTGTACATATTTAAGTTATACAATGAGATGTTTTCATATAGGTATACACTGTGAAATATTACCACAATCAAGCTAATTAAAATATCCATCATTTTTGGGTGGCGCAGTCGGTTAAGCATCTGACTCCTGATGTTCACTCAGGTCATGATCTCAGGGTGTAGGATCAAGCCCTGTGTCAGGCTCAGTGCTCAGTGGAAGTCTGCTTGGGATTCTCTCCCTCTCACTCTGCCCCTCATCCCCACACTCTCTCTCTCTCTCAAATAGATAGATCTTAAAATATATATATAATATATATATATATACATCATTTCACATAGTTATGATTTTGTGTGTGTACGTGTGTGGAGGGGACACTTAAGATCAGTTCTAGCAAATTTCAAGTATATGACACAGTATTATTAACTACTATTTCCATGCTGTAATCAAAGCTGCAGGACTTATTCATTCTGTATAACTGAAACTCTGTACCCTTTGAACAACACCTTATTCATTCTGTATAACTGAAACTCTGTACCCTTTGAACAACACCTTCCCATTCCCCCTACCATCTCACCTAATTTTTTATTTCATGTCCTTTTTTTTTTGCTCAAGTAATTTTAATAACCTCCAATTTTGTGATTATAAATACCTATTAACATGAGTAATGATCATTATTTTTTAGAATACTTCTGGCCAGACTTTTTTCTCTGTACATATATAAATGCTTATTTTTTTAAAAAATCATCTTTCCAATATTTACACAATAAATATAATTTCTAAAAGTTGAGAGGGGAAAGAGCAACTAAACAAACAATCCAACCAAAAGAATAGTTCACCGCTCACAGGATGGGAAAAATCTTTACAACGTATCTGATAAGGATCTAATAGCTAGAATATATTAAGAACACTTACAACTCAACAATAAAAAGGCAAATAACCTAATTAAAATATTGGCAAAGGACTTGAATAGATATTTCTCTGAATAAGATATACAAGTGGCCAATAAGCACATGAAAAGATGCTCAATATCATTAGTCACTAGGATGTGCAAATCAAAGCCATAATTAGATACCACTTCACATCCACCAGGATGGTTATAATTTTAAAAATGGAAAATGACAAGTACTGGTGAGGATGTGCAGAAACTGGAACCCTTGCGCATCGTGGTAGGAACGTAAAGTGGTACTGATGTTGCAGGAAACAGTTTGGCAGATTCTCAAAAGGTTAAAGAGAGAACCACCATATGACCCAGCACTTCTACTTCTAGGTATAATCCCAAAAGAACCGAAAACATACATCCCAACAAACACTTGCATATGAATGTTCATAGCAGCATAATGGCCAAAATTCATAACTAAAAAGTAGAAACAACCCAAATGTCCATCAACTGATGAATGGATATATAAATTGTGGTACATCTATCCAATGGAATTGTATTCAGCTGCACAAAGAAGTGAAGTACTGATGCATGCTTGGATGTAAGTACAGAGGGATGACTGTTGAAGACATGATGCTAAGTGAAAGAAGTCAATCACAAAAGATCACATATTATATGGCTCCATTCATATGGAATGTCCAGAATAGGTAAATCCACAGAGGCAGAAAGTAGATTAGTGGTTTCCAGGGTTTGGCGGTAAGATGGGTACAGGGTGGTAAAAATTCTGGAATTAGATGATGATGGTTTGCACAATATTATGAGTATACAATGAACCACTGAATTATATATATATACACTTTAAAAAGACTCTATTGCTTGTTCTATCTTTTGGTTATAAAAAAAAAAAAACCACAACCAAATACACCTGGAAAATGAATAATAAAGCAAGCATAAGTAAATGGCCTAGCTTTACCTGAGTGGTTTAGCTGTGGTGAAATTTCCTGCTGGAGCAAGCAATCATGTTCTTCCACTGTTTTTTTAATAGAATTCTTAACCTTCTCAGCTCTTTGGGCACGCTAGAGAAAACAAAAGCAGCTCAAGGAACAAATTTAAGAAAAAGAAGTATTTTTTTAAAGCTTTATTATTACGAAGAATTGTTTGTATATAGTTCATCCTACAATACCTCAGTTTGAGAGAGTAAGATTCACTCACCTGAAGGCGGGCCAGTGTCTTGCTGTATTCCCTTTTCAAGAATGCTAATTTTTCCTTCAACTAGAAGAAGAAAAACAGCAAACAATACTGAGTAGGTAGAAAGGAAAAGTCAGAGAGAGTGGACACAGTGCCTGTCAGACCCAAATAAGCAGTGCTTAGCAGGTCCCTCAGCAATAGACAGAGGAGGGAGTAGCAGGTGCCCACACTACTTTCAGTTCTCACAAAGCACCAAGCTCTCCAATACCTAAGCACATTTACCTAAACTGTTCCTACCACCTGGAGCATTTCCTCCCCAACTCATTTTGCTAAGTCCTACTGATTCCTCAAGCCTCAACTTACATTTTATTCCGCCAGGGTAGACTTCTAGGTCTTTCCTGAAATCCAGGTGGTACATTCCACCTCTCCACTGTGCTTCCTTTATCACAATACTTATTATATACTATGCTGTCTATTTCCTTCTGTTTCCCTCCATTGTGAGATCCCTTAAGGTAGCCGGAGCTGTCATCCTCAGACATTCATCAAACAAATGAATCTCTTGTCAGTTAATAGTCCAGGTATCTGTAGTCCCTGGAACAATAACTGATAACCACTCTAAATTATGGTCTCAGATGCTAGAACTAGAGTTGTCAAGCTTACACACAAGTTAGGGCTACTGATAATTAACAAGAAAACAAATACCCAGACAAGATGATATCACATGGTAATCAATACCCAGATCAACAGGGAGATGTGAGTGCCTGAGCTACTTTAGGTAGGGTGGCCAGAGAGGCATTTCTGAGGACTTTCTTTCGAGCCCAGACCTGAAGGAGGAAGGAGCTAGCTTTGGGAAGATCAGACGGAAAGCAATTTGTCCAAGATCACACAATTTATCAATGGCATGATCCAAACCCAGGTAGTTGAATTCTACAATCTGTGCTCTTAATCTCTATGCTAGTTTGCTTCTCACAGGGTCGGTCCTCTTTATCACCAACCTTATCAACATTTAAGAACTATCTTGTTGACTTGTAAATGACCTATCTCACCCTCGCGGAAAGGTAGGCTGGGATAAGAGGACTGATGAGCTAATGTGAATGAGGAGTCTAGCACGATGCCTGGAACAGCCAGCACAGATACGTTCAGGCTAACATCATCAGCAGGAGCACAAGGTGGTATGGGTAAGGACTGGTCAGAGCAGCACTGCTGTAGAAGCAAAAGCTGGAAACAACCTAAAGTCTCTCAGCAGAGTAATGGCTAATGAAAAGATGGCACTTCCATAATACATAACGCTATAGAGAACTTTAAAAAAGTAACGTAGGTTAACATGAAATAACATGGATGAAACCTGGAGAAGTAAAATGTAAGTTGCAGAACCATTCAGCTCATACTATTTGTGAACAAAAAATACACACTACTTTTTGGTAGTTAGGGAATATAACCACAACCTTCCAAATCCCCCACCTCCGTCCACTACACACACATACACGCGCGAAAAGATCTGAAGCATCAAGCTGTTTAGAGATCTACTTAAGGGAGCGGGTGGGAGAAGCCAAGATTGAAAAGACTGTGTGGGGGTGGGGAGAATGTCAAAGGGCACTTTGGCTTTATCCAGAATTTTACGTTTCTAATTTATGCATCACTGCTGTAAGAAAACTTGTTCTTTAAATGCCTCCACATGAGCACAGGACCCTTCATATTTTCATTCCCGGTGCCCGCTGAGTCCAAAGAGCGTAGGTCAGAGGTCACTGCCGACCCCGGACGGTAAAATCCGAGGCAAGGAGTCAGTTCCGAGTCAACCCTTCCCGCACACCCAGGGCACCTTTTCCTTCTCCTCACAGCTGAGGGGCTTCCCGGGAGGCTCTTCCATCGGGCTGGCGGCCGAACGGAAGGAGCGGCCGTCGCCGGCCCCGGGCCTGCGCACACGAAGGCCCCGGCTGGCCCTGGGTCCCGGAGGCGCCCAGGAAAGAAACCCGGCGCCCGGGATACCCCCGGCGCGCCACAAGCTTGCACATGCGGGAACCGCGCGCCGTCTCCTCCGGCCAATCACATCCACCGCTCGGCCTGCGCACGCGCAGCTGGAGACAGCCGAGTAATAGAGCGGGGCCTCCTAGCGGAGAGCCGAGCTGCGGATAAGAGCGGAGGACGCCCAGAGCGGAAGTGGAGGAGCGGCCGGAAGTAGCCTGAATCCCAGTCTGACTGACCGGCTGACAGGCTTTGACAGGAACCGGAGCTGCGACAAGGAGTTGGTGACCATGGAGTTGGGCGAGCTGCTTTACAACAAGTCCGAGTACATCGAGACGGTGCGCGTGTCTAGACATCTGCACTCCCTTTTCCGAGCCTGCGTCCCTTTGAGGCTGGTGTCCCCATCCTGTCCCTGCCCCACCCTGGGTCCCTTTGGCGTTTAGTCCGAGATTACCTAGATCACTTAGTGAATGGCCCAGCTTTGTTATTTCTTCCTTGCATGGCCAGTTTAGGCTTTTTTATTTATTCCTGATTTCCTAAAGATAAAATGCCTTCCAGAAAGCAGGACAAGTCTCATCCACCTTAATATCAATAACAACTCCAGGCTTCGGGCCTTTCGGAAGTTTTTTTTTTTTAAACTAACGTGTCGTAATTTATTACTCTTGCTAAAAGACGGTTAGGTCTTTTATAGTCAATACACGATGCGTGTAAATTGATCGAAGTAGGGTAAGTGCTCAGTCCGCGTTGCTATGAATTCTTGCAACTCTGATAATCGGTTAAGTCATTATCCTGGATATAGAACTGAAACTTGAATCCCCGTGTCTGATGTTATTAGGCTCTAGACCTACCACATCCAAATTCTGGATCCCTTCTTGGAATCCACAGTTTCCAAATCCATCCTTGCTTTGATATCCTGTACTCATTTCATTGAAGACTTTGCCCCATTTCAAGTCCTTTCCTCTCCAGTAGCAGCTTTCTTGATGGAAACCTGTAGTCCAGAATCCACTCAGTTTGCTTATCCCCATTTTCTGCTCTTTGCTTTCAGGCATCTGGAAACAAAGTTAGTCGCCAGTCCGTATTGTGTGGAAGTCAGAACATCGTTCTTAATGGCAAGGTAAGGGACCAAGCCAGTTCCAGGATGCATACCTTTGCTTTCTTTCCACTAATTATCACATCGGGAGGGCACATAATATGTTGCTATGTCTCCCATTTATTGCTGTACATTGAAAAATTCTCTTTTTCATTCTCCAAATTTTATTGAATACAAAAAAGATTCAATAAAAGGAGGCAACAGAAAACGTTTTCCCCTTTATGCCAGGAATGGTATATACCATGGCACCTAGTATATAGAACTGAAATTATTTTAAAGTATTGTGATGTGCCCTAAACTAATGGACACAAACATAAATAGGCAACAAAATATTTTAGTGTAGAAGCTATAAAGTATAGTAGTATAATTAACTGTTTAGTAATAATGATTCAGCATTAACTGAAACTCTTAAAATTAATTTGCGAATGGGGGGGGCGCCTGGGTGGCTCATTCGGTTAAATGTCTGCCTTAGGCTCAAGTCATGATCTCAGGGTCCTGGGATTGAGCCCCAGTTGTGCTCCCTGCTCAGCGGGGAGCCTGCTTCTCCCTCTCTGCTTCACCCCCCTGCTTGTGCACTTTCTCTTTCTGTGTCAAATAAATAAATAAAATCTTTAAAAAAAGAGAGAATTGGAAAAGACACTAAACCATGAAACAGATTTGCAAAATGGAATATGAAAGGCTGAGAATTTGTAGTCTAAATAAATTGAAATAGCAGAGAGATGAGTATAAACTTGGGAATAATATTAGGACATTTCAGAACCAGAGAAAATATCAAGATATATTTGAACTTGACAAACACTGAACCCATAGTTTTTCCTGCCATTTTTCTTTGAAATGTTACATCTCTAACTTCAAAGGGAAAACAGTCTCACTATAATCAAGCAATCATAAATTTTTTCAGTAGAGACACAATTGCTATCTCCATCAGCTCATCATGAGATTTAATAGAAAGAAATATAGTTCAGTAATTAGGTATAATTAGTAATTATAGACACACTGTTCCTGCACAGAATTAGAAAATTCAGTTAACCCCAGTCTGACTCATTAGCAAATGTGTGGAGTTTTTTTTTGTTTGTTTGTTTGTTTTTTAAAGATTTGATTTATTTATTTGACAGAGAGAGACAAAGCGAGAGAAGGAACACAAGCTGGGGGAGTGGGAGAGGGAGAAGCAGGCCTCCCGCAGAGCAGGGAGCCCGATGCGGGGCTCGATCCCAGGACCCTGAGATCATGACCTGAGCCGAAGGCAGACGCTTAACGACTGAGCCACCCAGGCGCCCCAATGTGTAGAGTTTTTTAGAAATCCCTAAGGTGAGCACCTGGATGGCTCAGTCATTAAGCGTCTGCCTTTGGCTCAGTCATGATCCCAGGGTCCTGGGATTGAGCCCCGCATCGGGCTCCCAGCTCCACAGGAAGCCTGCTTCTCCCTCTCCCACTCCCCCTGCTTGTGTTCCCTCTCTCGCTGTGTCTCTCGCTCTCTGTCAAATAAATAAATAAAATCTTTAAAAAAAAAAATCCCTTAGGTAATTTCAAAACATTTTCTGTGATTTTTGTAGGGAACATTTCTTTATTAAATTGTTATAAAATATATGTGACAAAATTTGCCACTTTAACTGTTTTTAAGTGTACAATCCATTGGCATTAATTGTATTTACAATTGGGGTGCCTGGGTGGCTCATTTGGTTGAGCGTCCTACTCTTGATCTTAGCTCAAGTCTTCATCTCAGGGCTGTGAGTTCAAGCCCCGCATTGGGCTCCACACTGGGTGTGGAGCCTACTTAAAAAAAAAATTCTATTGAGGCGCCTGGGTGGCTCAGCTGGTTAAGCGGCTGCCTTCGGCTCAGGTCATGATCCCAGGGTCCTGGGATCGAGCCCCGCATTGGGCTCCGTGCTCCGTGGGGAGCCTGCTTCTCCCTCTCCCTCTGCCTGCCTCTCTGCCTACTTGTTCTCTCTCTCTCTCTCTGTCAAATAAATAAATAAAATCTTAAAAAAAAAAATTCTATTTACAACCATTGTGTAATCATCACCACTATCTATTTCTAAAACTTTAATCACCCAGACAGAAGCTCCATACTCATTAAGGAATAACTCCCTGTTTCCTCCCCATCTCCCTACCCGTCTCCCCACCCCTGCCCCCCACACCCTGCCTAGTCACTAATAACCTCAATCCACTTCCTGTCTCTGTGAATTTGCCTAGTCTAGATATATAATATTTGTCCTTTTTTTTCTGGTTTATTTCACTTAGCATAATGTTTTCAAAGTTCATGTATGTTATAGGATGTAAACTAATACATATATACACGTTTACATCCATGTAAACTATGTACATATATAGTTTAGCTTTACTTGGCTTTCTGTTACTTACTTTTTTTACACTCACTTATAATAACCACGGTAGGAAACACCTATCACACTAAGTACCATTGTTCTCAGTTCTGTTTCTAAGATTCACTGTCGTTTGTGCGTTTTCACTACTGTGTACAGTTCCATTTATCCCCTCTCCTACTGGTTATTTTGTTCCCAGTTTTTTGTTTTGTCCTTTTCAGAACTGTGAGATTTCTATTTTCCTAAACCCTATATCAGGTGTTATAGTGCCTGCAGGGATAGGCAGGGATCAAATGAGTAAGGAAGACTGGGTGCCAACAACAGAGAGTGGTGGGGCCTGGTGAATTGAAGAATACTTGTCCTAGCTAAACTCAAGCTGATTGTTGCCATGTGGGAATATAGACCTATATTTTCTCAAAAGACATTGGAAATCTGGATTGTTTTAATGCAAAATGTCCCACTATTCAAATAATAGCATTAAATTCAAATGATGAAAGAAGGTGCATGAGCCAAACAAAACAGGTTTTTGGGTGCGGTTCTTAGACCTCCAGCTTCCCACCTCTGCCTCATCCTTTGTTGAGTTCAGTGAACTCTGCTCTACTACCATTTTTTTCCCTGTGAGGTCCTTATGTGCACTCACTTTCATTTTAACATCCTGCTGCCTCTCTTTTGAATCTGACTTCTCATCTTCAGCTCCATTCCTTATGAGATAGGAAACCAGGATTTGAGTCCCTCATGCTAAATCTCTTTGACCTCCTGTGATTATCCATTACTTAATGTTTTTCATGTTTGCTTCTTCAAATGGAAGTGTAATTTAGGCTGCCTGAGGGACTTCTGTGGATTTTCTTTATTTCCAGATTAAGATTGCTATCTTTGTTTAAAACACAGTAAAACAAAAACAACCATTACCAAATACTCAGAACTCTTGGTATTCTGCTTTCCTCCAAAGAAAAGGAAGTCATTTTCTCTGATTGTAGATGGAAGCATAAACAGAAAACAATGATTAAAGTAAATGAAGGATTTCAGATGAAAGAGTACATACTAGAAGCAGATATCTCTTTAAACTTGAAGGAGACCATTTTTTAAAACCAAGAGGAACTATAGTCCTTTATAGTCAGCAGCTGATTAGAAATTATCTTTTTTACTGATAGAGGTTTTATAGACCGAACATATGCAGGTGACATTGGTAAACTCTTCGAAGTAGGAGCCCACTTCTTTTTTAGTAATTTCTCAGAGCCTGGTGTTCAGGTTAGTGACATATCTAAATTCACCTGTATTTGAGGTGTTCCCCATCTACCTCTTCTGTCCTGGGCCCCAGACCTTCATTTCAACTGCTTGGTGGTCATCCAACAGATACCTCAAATAGCATTTCACAGTTGAATTTGTCATCCAGTCCAGTCTCCAGAATCGCTTACCCCATTCTAGACTCTCATCCTAGATTCCCTTTCTCTCTTTCTCCAATATCAAACAATGACCAAGTCATATAGATTCTCTTCCCTTTTTTCCATTTTTAACATTTGATAGTGGAACATTTATTTTAAAGATTTTATTTATTTGCGAGAGAGAGTGGGCAAGAGAGAGCATGAGGCAGGGAGAGGGCCAGAGGGAGAGGGACAAACAGACACCCTGCTGAGCAGGGAGCCCGACGTGGGGCTTGATCCCACGACCTCGAGATCATGACCTGAGCCAAAGGCAGATGCTTAACCTACTGAGACACCCAGGTGCCCCTATAGTGGAACATTTTCAAAGTTATCTTTATTGAGATGTAATTTACATACAATGAATTGTACCCATTTTAAGTGTGCAGTTTGACAAGTTTTGGTGCTTTTATTTATTTATTTTTAAAAGATTTTATTTATTTATTTGAGAGAAAGAATGAGAGACAGCATGAGAGGGAGGAGGGTCAGAGGGAGAAGCAGACTCCCCGCTGAGCAGGGAGCCCGACGTGGGACTCGAGCCCAGGACTCCAGGATCATGACCTGAGCCGAAGGCAGTCGCTTAGCCAACTGAGCCACCCAGGCGCCCCGGTGCTTTTTTTTTAAAGATTTATTTATTTGAGAGCGAGCGAGCGAGTGAATGAGAGAGAGAGAGCCCAGCCAGGGGGTAGGAGTAGAGGGAGAGGGAGAAGCAGGCTCCCCGCTGAGCAGGGAGCTTGATTTGGGGCTCAATCCCAGGACCTTGGGACCATGATCTGAGCTGAGGCAGATGCTTAACCAACTGAGCCATCCAGGCGCCCCTCAGTTTGACAAGTTTTGACTGATGCTTACACCTATGCAACCACAATTAAGATATAAAATATTTCTATCACCCTCATTTCCTTGGACCCCTCTGCTGTCAGTCCTCCTACTACCCTTGGCCCCAGATAACCACTGGTGTAAGACTAATAGAGATTACTTTCGCATTTTCTAGAGTTGCCTGTAATGGGAATTATGTACTCTTTGTTGTCAGCCTTCTTTCACTCAGCATAATGTTTTTGAGATTTATCCCTGTTGTGTACATTAGTGGATTAACAATTCATTACTTTTTATAGATGAGCAGTATTGTTATGCAACTTTTAAGACATATACCAAAGTAGAGAGAACATATAATGAATCTCTATATACTCATTCACCAGCTTCTGCAGTTAGCAATATTCTGACGTCCTTGTTTCATCTCTGTACCTGCCCCACAAACAGATACCTATTTTGACCAGGGGCGGGGCAGGGAGTTGGGGTATTTTAAAGCAAATTGCAAACACTGTATTATTTCACCCATAAATATTTTAATACATATCACTAAGATTTAAAGATTTTAAAAAATGTGTAGAGTACCCTTATCATGATATATTTTTTAAGAAGCCAGTTATTTCCTACTATCATCTAATCCTCAGTCCATGTTCAATCTTCTAGTATCTTAACATGTCTTTTTACAGTTGGTTTAGTCAAATCAGGATCCAAACAAGGTCAAGTACACATTGCATCTGGTTGATATATCTCTCAGGACTCTTTAAGCCTGTAACAGTTCTTTTCCCCCAGCCTGTTTTCCTCTCCATCCCACTTATATGTTGAAGAAACTGGCTCATTGTTCTGTAGAATTTTCAAATTTTGAATTTGGCCAATTCTATTTACATGGTTGTTGAATGCGATCTTTCTGCCCCTCTCCTCCCTCTTAATTAGTAGATCTGGAGGCTTGATCAGATTCCTCTACCTTGTATTTCTCTTTTCTTCATGCACAACTATTGTCATAGAGAAGGCCCATTCTCTCATTTTACCTTGATCCACTGTAGTCATCTAAAGTGTCACCTTCCCTCCAGTCTTACCTGCCTCCTCCATTCACTCTAGACTGCTTTCAGAGTAATATTTCTAAAATGAAGATTCAGTGTGTTAATCTTCTGCTTAAAAACTTTGATTTCTTATATCCTCTCTATCCTCTAGGGAAAAAGCCTAAGCTTCTGTACTCAGTATACATAATGCCTCATAAGCCCTAGGCCCAGCTTACTTGTCCAGCTGTAACCCCAGCCATATGCACTTTTTTTTTTTTACCCCATTTATTCAAAAGACATTTCCAGAATGCCTACTCTTTACCAAGTATGGGGCATTAATTCCCCCAAACTTCTGAGTTACATAATTCACCCTGAAGCCCATCCAGGCAATCTTTGGGGCAGCTGGATATCATACCCTGCAGTGTAGCACTTCATCTGCGTCCAGAATTTGGGAGAGAAACCATGAACTCAGTAGGCCTACCTCCAGGAGCATGAAGCTGGAGGTAGTCAGTAGTATTGGGAGATTGGACAAAGGTAAGAGCAGCCTGGATTCTCACTGAGCAAGCAGCCAAGGCTTAAGGGCAGGTAGAATCAAGTGCATCTGAAGTAGTGAGTAAACTAGGTCAGCTACAGGCATTCTTAGTAAAGGTCTATTTATTCAACGAGTCCTATTTATGGGATATTAAGGGCAAAGCTCATGATCCTGGGAACATCTTCAACTGAGTCAGTTTTTTTTTAAGATTTTATTTATTTATTTATTTAAGAAAGAGAGAAAGAGAGCACAAGCAAGGTGAAGAGCAGAGGGAGAAGCAGACTCCCCACCAAACAGGGAGCCCGATGTGGGACTTGATCCCAGAACTCGATCCTGGGACTCTGGGATCATGACCCAAGATGAAGGCAGATGCTTAACAACTGAGCCACCCAGGCGCCCCTAGCTGAGTCAGTGTTAGGAGGGCAGTTCTCTTTACCTTAAAGTTATCCCTTTTGACAGAATGTGTGACTCAGTAGATCATAGCATAACTTCAATCAGTGCCTACTTACCTACTCTTTTTTGTTGTGTTTTGGGCTATGTTGGTAGCTTTTTATTTTTTATTTTTTTATTTTATTTCTTTTAGATTTTATTTATTTATTTGAGAGAGAGAGAATGAGAGATAGAGAGCACGAGAGGGAAGAGGGTCAGAGGGAGAAGCAGACTCCCTGCTGAACAGGGAGCCCGATGTGGGACTCGATCCCGGGACTCCAGGATCATGACCTGAGCCGAAGGCAGTCGCTTAACCAACTGAGCCACCCAGGCACCCTGTTGGTAGCTTTTTAAAATGTGCTTTATTTTGTAGACCATTGTGATGAATGACTGTATTATCCGAGGGGATCTAGCAAATGTAAGAGTTGGACGTCATTGTGTTGTGAAAAGTCGGAGTGTCATAAGGCCACCGTTCAAGAAATTCAGCAAAGGGTATGTAATTTACTTACCTTGTTTCAGTCTTGTGAGAGATGCTGCTACGGGTGGTGTATTCCGGGTGTTGAGTTGTGGTGTAAGGAGCAGGTCTGTGCTATTGTTTGGGTCACTGAGGAGGAATTCACTGTAATGAACACAACACTGGTGGTGGTTGTCTTAGTCTAGTTGTTGGTTGGTTGCCAGAAACAGAATCCACTTTAATTGGCAAAGGCAGAGGGGGTTCTGATGAAGAGATGCCGGCATATTTAATTGAATATAAGGGTAGGAAAAGGGGCCAGGCCTCATAGGGACTAGAACCTGTAATTGGACAGCTAGCCAGAATCAAGACAACTATGCTGTCTATCGCTCTGTCACCGAGATTATGTTGTTTCTTGTCGGTCTTTGTCCCTGCATTTCTGCCTCCCTCTCTTCTCTTTCACGTTGGCTTTGTTGTCCCCCTTTTCTCATGGAGCCAACCATGCTGCCTCAGCCCCTTATTTATATCAGTTCTCTATTCAGGCTTCAAAAGATACCAGCCAAAGATTTTAGGTCTTATTTCCAGAATCTTGGCAGAGGGAATCTGATTGGCTTAGCTGGAGTTAAGTGCCCACCCCTGGTCTAAACAGTTTTGACTCAGAGGGCAGGGGCAAGTCAGGGCCACCGTTCTGTCAGTGGGAGTAAGGATTATCCAGGGAAGGGCATGGACAGGGCAGGAAAACTGTCCACCATGCCTGATGTGCTGGTATTTTTGTTGTTGTTGTTTTGCCTCTCTCTTTTCCCTCCTGGCTCCTACCTGTGGCACCATCTGCATTTCATTGAGTAATTTAGCAAGCATTGATTGAGTGCTTTCTTTGTGTCAGTCACTAGATTATAAGATGGGTACATGAAGATGGATGAAATAGCGTTCCTGCCTCAAAGTTCTCAAAAACCTAGTAGTAGAAACACTTACTTACATACAGAGATGGCTACTATAGAATGTGATACTATAGTGTGATAGCCACTGTGTATTGTGACACTCCTATCATAGGGCTGAACATGGTTAGGGAGGAACAGTAAAGAAAGCAACCAACTCAGACTATAATACCTGGGAGTAAAGCACACAGGAATCATCCTGCATGTCTCAGAATGAAGTCAGACTCCAGGCTTTCCATTACAGACAGGAATGGGAGCAGGGAATCACTGCAAATCATTCACGTCAAAACATTTGCTCATTAGCTCAGAAGGCTATTGGGGGGAACTGAGAAATCCTTGTGGTGGGCTTTCGTGGTTCCACACTGTGACAGGTACTCTGCCAGAATCGTTGGCTCCCCCTTCTGATAGCGGCATTACTGTGCTGGCTATGGTCTCGGAAGAGCTCCGAGAACAAATAGGGGGTTTATTGGTGAACAGTAGGATGTGTAAATAGGAATAGTCCACATGAGAAATACAGGAATACAAAAGTGTAAGTAGCAACACATGAACAGCAAGTGAGCATGGATTCCCCTGTCCCCCACCCCATGTATCTCAATACAAGAACCAGATAATAATATCAAGTTTGGAATTTTTAATTTAAAATTCAGGTGCTGACAGTGCTGCTGTAGACTGATAAGATCAAGGAATTCATTGTCACACAAGGGTCCCAGATCAAAAATACGAATGGATTAAGGAAGATTTAAATAAACTATAGGTCCAGGGAGGACAGGTATCGTCTCTGACAAAATAGAGCACAGGACTAGATAGAGCCAGTGAGCATCCAGCTACTTTATTTTAGTTCTAGTCCAAATATTTTCCATCCCAAGGTACTGAAGTTACTTGTAAATGTGATCATAGAACCACGGTCAATGACGTTTGAGGAATCATGGAGAATGGCAATGATGTCAGAAGTCTGGAGAAAGCCTACTGACTCCTCCTCCTTCAATTCTTGGCTTAAATGTCACTTTTTTTTTTAAGATTTTATTTATTCATTTGAGAGAGAGAGAGGACAGATGAGCATGGGGATGGGCAGAGGGAGAAGGAGAGAGGAAGCAGACTCCCCACTGAGTGCAGAGCCCAACACGAGACTTGATCCCAGGACCCTGAGATCATGACCTGAGCCGAAGTCAGATGCTTAACCAACTGAGTCACCCAGGTGCCCCTTAAATGTCACTTTCAATTAAGCTTTTACCAAACTTCCAATCTAGGTGAAGTCTCTGCTTATAACTTGGTATTTTTTACTTTGTAGTACTTGTTGTAGTTGTAATTAATTACTTATATAATCATTTGTTTAATCTCTCTTTTCTTGATTGCTAGCTCCTCGTGGGCCAGATGGTGTCCTTTTTGCTTGCCATTCTGTCTCCAATTTCTAGCATAGAGTCTGGCATACAGTAGGTACTCAGTAAAATCAGTGAAAATACAAATTTTTGAAATGTTGAATGGTAGAAAATACATCCCAGGAACTGATGTCAGTCCCCTACAACATTGTAGGGCAGATTACCGAAAATGTGACCTGTGAGCATTTCCAAGGAGGCAGGAATGAGCAAAACACGCATTCATTTGGTGCCAGCTCTTTTAGCTTGGAAGGTCTCGCTGCTTCTGTCTTGCTGTTTCCTTGCACACTGCTTGGTCCAATATTTCTGATTTCATTATAGAATTCTCCTAGCCTGAGGATTCCTTCCTTTTAGGAGCAGTCTTATTAAGACAAGATGATGAAGTTGAGAGTATGATCAGCAGTTCTGTAAACCTTGACCAAAAGCAAATCACCTTGATATTTTCTTTTGTTCATCTTCTTTTCCTTCTCTAGCGTTGCATTCTTTCCTTTACATATCGGGGACCATGTCTTTATTGAGGAAGATTGTGTGGTCAACGCAGCTCAGATTGGCTCTTACGTTCACGTTGGCAAGAACTGTGTGATTGTGAGTATGGTGTCTTGGCTGGCTAAACGTCCTTACTGCCCCTCCAGCTCCCATCCCTCACATCAGTGGGCCTCTGCTTCTGTGGCCAAGCAGGGTAGAAGTAGTTTCTGGTCTACTCGAATCATTACTGGATTTGGAGTTTTCTAGGCATCAATAATCACGGTTAAACATTATCTAACCTCTTCTATAAGATGTTAAACTCTTGCCTTTGATTTTTTTCATTTGACCCTCATAACCATCCAAGGATGGTAGTTAACTGTTATTATCCCTATTTGCAGACAACAAGCCTGAAGACCTTAGAAATTAGGGGATTTGACAGAGCTATGAAGTGGTAGAGCTGGGATTTGAACCCAGGCTTAATGAATAGCCATGCCTGCTTTATGGCCTACCTGTTGCTTTACCTCCAGGATCGTACAGTCTAGTGGGGACAAGGGGCATAACATTAGGGGAACTCCAAGTAGTTCAGGGTGATGGGCATGTGGGGTACAAGTGGGCCCTTGCTCAGTGGACATGTGGGATCCTGGTCCACAGGAGCCTTGGCATCTACTTGTTTCATCTGGCCAAGGCTTTACAAAGTTGGATTTCTCAGTATTTCATAGATGAAGAGCTTGATTTCAGTTGGGATTTATGAGAACATCCTGGGTGAGAATGCTAATGACCAGAGTTGAACTGCCTTAAGAGTTAGGGAAAATGTTTCCTCTATATTTTTTTAAGATTTTATTTATTTATCTGACAGAGAGAGACACACAGCCAGAGAGGGAACACAAGCAGGGGGGAGCGGAAGAGGGAGAAGCAGGCTTCCCGCTGAGCAGGGAGCCCAATGTGGGGCTTGATCCCAGGACCTTGGGATCATGACCTGAGCCGAAGGCAGACGCTTAACGACTGAGCCACCCAGGTGCCCCTGTTTCCTATATTTTAAATTTGTACCCAAATCCTAGCTTCTAGGAAAAGCCAAGGACTTTTCATGTTTTAAATAGCTATTCCCAGTAATACAGAGGCAGCTCTCTGTTCTGGCTAATACTCAAGAATAAAATACTTGTAGAAACCCTGTGGTCACATTCTGCAAGCCATGAGAGCACAGTAAAGATGGACCATGCAGTGGAGAGCCACATTGCTGTGGAAAACATCCCAATCTGGCCTGTTACGCAGAATTAAGGAAAGAGGTTGTTTTGCCAAATATTCTCCTCCAAAGGAGTCCCTTCATATATATTAGAGACAGAGGGTCTTTCATTTGGCATGATATTGAAGAAAGGGGGAAAATTGTGAAATCCATCCTGTCCCCTCATTTTGTGTGACAGAAGTTGGCTTTCTAAGCCACAGCTGGATTTTTCTGGCATTTTCTTCAGCAAAGTGATGACATGCTCATAGTAGCCTAGTGTGTTAGCCCCGTCCTTTATCCCTGGAGCTAACTGTCTGAAACATTAAAATCCAAATGCTGTTCCCAGTGCATAGGGAGTTCTAATCTTCTTGTCTCGCTCTGCTTTTTTGTGCCCCTTTCTGATACATCAGTTCAGACATAAGTACCTATTTGCTGAGCCTTTTACAAATTCTCAAGTAATCTCAGGAGAAAGATTCTTTTAAAACTCTAGAATCTTGTAGCTAGCAGGGACTCTTTTAGAGTCCAGTTAGCCCCATGACCCACAGATCCTTCCGATAGCACCCATTTGGTGGTCTAACTCCTTTCGGATGTGTGAAGGTATAGTTGCCAGTCAGAGCTGCCCAGATGCTTGCAGGAAAAGCCTCACAGACAATCTTCATAGTCTCTGTTACCGTGCTGTGAGCTTTACATTTATTGTCTCTAATCCTCACAGCAGTCCTGCAGTTCGGTTTTATGTCCTGTTTCCCAGACCAGGAACCCAAGGCTAAGGGACGCTGAATAACTTGTATCTGGAGATAACAGGTATAGCTGTAATACTGGCAACATGGAGTTCTTGACTCCTCCTGGGAAAGTCCTCCAGGAAAGAATAAAGAAGCGGTTTCAGCTTTTCACCTCCTCATCTATTGCCAATGCACTCATGCCTAAGAAGTACCTGTGTTTTGACTTTTGCTGCTGTTTAATTCATCAGCTTGCCCAGAATGCTCTGGAAGCTGATTAAGCATCATTTGCCTGAGTGGGCAAAATGGCTAACGAGTGGACACAGCAGGTGCCTCCAGGCTGTGTGGTAGCCAGTGGTACACAGCGGAAGTTTTATTCTCACTGCTCTTCTTTTCCAGGGCCCTTTGTCTACAGATCCCTCTGTGTGAATGTGTCATGCTTCACGCAGCACATTTGGCTTCTTTCCACCCAGTGCCCTATGCGCTTCATCAGAATTATTAGGAGCTTAGGTGTCATAGGACGTCTTTGGGTTAATTTGGGAGTCACCAGGGGAGCTGGCCAGCTGCTGTATTTTGGGAATTGCCACTAGCAGGTAATTCATGGGAGAGAATTTTCCAAGAATGAATGGAGAGCTGCGGTTATAACTTGTTTCTAAGCTATAGATAGTGGCAAGTATTGCCAGGGCTGTTATCCACCTCACCAGAGACAGCTTAGTAGTCACTTAAAAAATTCAGACCTTTGAGGTATAAGCTTTCTAAAAAATTCATTTAGCAATCTACCTGGAAATTCCTGGAAATACATATGATTTGGGCATTTATTAATAATTGGGAAATTTTAAATACAACCAAATCAAAGTATCTTTCATATTCTTTGGTAAAATCTGAGATCTAGACAGGTTAGCATTGTCCTGATGTTGTTAGGGATTCTACATTGTCAGTCAAGTACGTTTTATCAGATCCTCTGACCAGGACACAAGTGAACTCACAGGCCCTGGTGATGTAAATGCAGTCGGTGAAGACCAAAACTTTCACTTACTCAGCAGGTAGTCTGAGGCACAACTTTAATCTGTATGTAGAAGAAGCCTCCCCTTCCCTTTAACCCAGGAAACGGATCTACCAGACCTTATTTCTTGCCCTTAGAATGCTGTGGATGATGCAGAATTCAAAAGTGGCCGCAGTGAATAAGGTCAAGCATAAGACTTGGCCTAAACTTTCAAAATGAACATATTGGCTAATATGAACCAAGAGTACAAAAGTAGACCCTAATTCTATGCACAGGTGGCTCCAGGGGTTCAACTGATGTCATGAGAATTAATCTCCTTCTCTTTCCCGCTTTCCTCTGGGAGGCTGTCAGGCAGGTTCTTCCCTCTTGGAAACAAGACAGCTGGTCCAAATGTCTGTCCTGTCCTCTAGAGACCCCACTGGAAAGAGCTTCCTTTCCCAGTAGTCCCAGCAGAAGCCTTGATGTTGTGATTCATCAGACTGATTTGGCTCATTCCATAAAACAGTCCTTGTGGCCAGGCTTGGGGTTTGGGGTTAGGATAGGGGACTGTCATGGGCAGACGGGTGTTACCAAGGACAATACAGGTTCTGTTACCAGAAGAAGGGGGATCAAATGTTGGACAAGCAAAAAAGTAGATGTCCACTAAATTTAAGAAAAAAAATTCTACAACTCTTGGGAGACTGAATTTCAGTCTATAATACCTAAGATAACCTGAACTGTCCCTAGCATATAATTCCTTCCCCAAGTTCATGTACACACACTCACACACACACACACACACTTACTCATACCCCCATCTCCTCCTGCTTGTCACCTGAAGTAGGGAATTGTGGCCAAACCTCTTGTCATTGGCTCTGTCTATTGTATGATATCATGAATGGAGAATATATAAAATAGCATTCCATGCAGCAGACAAGGCAACTTTTTTTATTGTTATGTTAATCACCATATATTACATCATTAGTTTTTGGTGCAATGTTCCATGATTCATTGTTTCTTCATAACACCCAGTGCTCCATGCAGAACGTGCCCTCCTTAATACCCATCACCAGGATAACCCATCCCCCTCCCCCCCTCCCCTCTAGAACCCTCAGTTTGTTTTTCAGAGTCCATCATCTCTCATGATTCGTCTCCCCCTCTGACATACTCCCCTTTTCTTCCTCTCCTGTTAGACAAGGCAACTTTTACTCGAGCATTTCCTGCTCTATTTCCTAGTGACAAGATTTTAATTTCAGGGGCGCCGATGTGTGTTGAAAGATTGCTGCAAAATTCTTGACAACACAGTATTACCCCCAGAAACTGTGGTGCCACCATTCACCGTCTTCTCAGGCTGCCCAGGTAAGCTTGGTGTTGATTATGAAAGCTCAATCTCATTTTCCTTCACAAAAGTAATGCATGCAATTTTTATCTCTGACAATGTATTGATCTAGCTAATTTAAAAATTCTCCTGCTACAGATTACCTAGAAATGCTATCTAAAAATGTAACCAGTATCTTTTTAAATGCACAATCGAGTTCACAAGGAAATTCCAAGGGTCAGAAACAAAGAGGAGACTAAACCCACACTATAAGCATGGTTAGGTTTATGCATCTTCATAATAAGTAGAGTGGTTTAGGGTTTGATACTTCTGTGGGGATGAGAGAGAAAGCCTTATATGGCAGAGAGATCCTCTTGAAGAGTGATCTCTCAATAAAAGTTGATCTAGAGTCAACCTGCCACCAGCACAGGGAAAGTACAAAGAAGCAAGCCTCTCTTGGCCTGGGCTCTGGGTGGAAAAAGAAAAAGTCTCTCCAGAGAATTCTAACAATGCCTTCGTGTTGGTTGGGATTTTGAACTTCTACTTCCCACACTGCCCAGGAATGCCCAAACTGAAAAGTTGACATAAAACATGGTCTAAGACCAACGATAGCTCTAGGACACCTGAGAGAAGCAAATATATCCCCTCTCGACCTTGGCTAATGGAATGCCCTTAGGTAAAACCCTCGTGAGCTCAGAGTTCCCAATGGCTAAACATGTGAGCAAACAAAAGTGATTACATGCTCCTCCTAGAAAACTTGGAAAACACAGAAAAACAGAAGGAAGAAGAAAACCTCATGTCTCCCACCCCCACCCCAAGGCAGTCTCTTTTCTTCTCTATATGTTTTTACGTGGTTGAACTCATGCAACATGGACAGAGGCACACCAGAGATTCACAGATGGAAGATGCTATTTATAGCGAGAGATTTGGCAATATATGAGATGTACCCCTGGGTGGCTTAGTTACTTTTCCAATTAAAAAACTCATCACTCAGATCATTGACTGTGGGTTTCAAAGATGTAGAAAATCATCCATTCAGATTCTTTGGGGAGGAAATGGGCTGTTCTGCTGTTTCAGAAGAGCTGAAACAGCTTTTGCTTTTGCAAAGGAGGAAGAGCCTTGCTAAGTGATTATCCCTATATTAGGTTCCCACTGTGAGAAAGTATCATCATTCTTAGCAAGTGCAGATCCGAACAGCCCCAGCAGTCATTTTAGGTTGATTGTCAGACAGGTATCTGATCTGCAGTGAGAAGTATATTGCCAGAGAAATATCTTAACCTCTTTTAACTTATTCAGGGTCCTTAGAACCAACTGTGGTCTTTGAGCATCGATGGCCGAGGCAAGGAGGCAGTACTTGGTATTTGAAATTCAAATAAGCGCTGTGTTTGGAGGTTCTGATGGAGGATTCAAACTGCCTGAGACCATAGAGATCATTGTGTAGATGGAGAAACAGGCCTAGAGAGATTGGGTTGTCCATAGGGTCAGAGCTGGTTCGTGGGAAAGCCTTGACTAGGTCTTAAGACCCCTTATTTAGAGTCCAGTACTTTCTGCACTGTGACAAGATACTTCCCACGTTCGTTTTTAGTAGTTTCACAAACAAATGCTAACCATCTAGATAATGCTGTTGGCAATCTTCATCCTTAGTAAAGAGGCCTAAGGTTGTAGGACAACTGGCACATTTTTGGAAGGCTCCACTGCATGTCACTGAATAGTGGAACAAAATGAAAGGCAAACCATCCAGAAAGAACCTGGGTCAGGAACCAAAAAGCCAAAACTGCCTGTAGGAGTCAGACAGACGTGATTGAAGTGACAGCCTATCATGGCTGGCCAAGAGTACAGACCTAACATTTTAAGAACTTCTGATAGTTCACGAGGAGCTAAAAATCTGAATATCTACGTGGGATCTCTGAATTTTTGAGTGTTGGCTGCTAACTTTTTTAAAAGATTAAATACTGTGCAGACCAAACATATGTTTGCAAATCTAACGTAGGCTGCTCATTTGTAAAAGATACCTGTGAGAATTTTATATTTTTTAGACCTTTTTTTTCTATCCTACCTGTTGTTTTCTCTCTCTATATGTGCAAGCATGTTTGTTTGTTTTGTATGTATATTAACGCACAGGTGTGTGTACCATATCTGTGTATATATGTACTTGTGTGTATAACACAGATATATAAAACTGGTTTATACCTGTACAAATAGATTCACACTTTCTGTTCTATTTGGAAATTTGCTTTCTTAACAGTGTATCTTGGGCATCTTTTCTTGTCAGTATGAAGAGATTCCCCTCATTCCTTTTCATGGTTGCATGGTTTTCATTACATAAATGTACCACAGTGTAACTGATCCATTCCCTGGTATAATGGACCATTAGACGTTGTACCTGGTTTTTCACTATTAGAAACTTAGTTGCATTACTATTCTTGTATGTATATTGATCAACTGGGCAAGGTTATTTGTAGGATAAATTCTTAGAAATTGGCTTGTCAGGTCACAGGGTATGAACTTCTAAAAGTTTTGCTACATTTTCCAAAATTGCTCTTCCAAATGGTTGTATAAATGTACACTTCTGCCCATAGTGTATGAGAGTGCCTCTTTTCCAGAAATCCTTAAATACAAATTTTTGTCTTTTGTTAGGATATTTCTGTTCTACTCCCATCCATGATTTGTCTGTATGTAGCAGGTGTGGGGATTGGATTCAGTTTCATTGTATGAACAACAGAACAGTTTCTTACCTCAAAGGGTGCTCACCTGGGTTTGCCTAGCAGGTGTCATACCACAATCCAGGGGATGAACAAATCTTTGTCTGGAACAACGTCCCATGTAGTCGGAGATGCCTTAACTCTTCAGATCATGCAGTAATGTACAAACCTCTTTTACCTGGAAGGTATTTATCCATTCGGGGAATTGTGTTATTTGTCTCCCCACACACACGAAAATATCATCTTGAAGATACGGTCAGTAGAAATATTCTGCTAGCATTGAAGCTGGAAGACCTAGCATTTCGATGCTCATGAGTAAAGGAAAGGGCCCTGTAGTGGTTTAAATCGAAATCAGAGCTGCTGGCCTCCCCCAGCTCCAGTTGGTTGACCAGGTCTTTCTTTCCCCAGGACTGTTTTCAGGGGAGCTCCCAGAATGTACCCAGGAGCTGATGATTGACGTCACCAAGAGCTACTACCAGAAGTTTTTGCCCTTGACACAGGTCTAATGTCTCTGCCTCGTGTCTCAAATTTGCTTGAGCTCTAAGATGAACTTGGGGACAAAGTGAGCCAGCCAGCATCTACAAAGAGCTCTTGTGTCTTTGATACCTTCCACCCTCTTTTTTGGTTTGTCTGGTTTTGTTTAATTCTTTAGAATTTCTCAGTCCTTCCAGGTTCTAAGCTAAGACTTTAATAACAGAATGTCTGGAGGAGTTGTGTCCAAATGCTGTGCTTAAACCTTATCTATTAATGGCCCCTTCATACCATTATCTGTGGAACACAGAATCATCTGTTCCCAATACGCCCACTCCTTGGTCCTGTGGATGACGGGATCCTGCCGAAACAGGCCTGCAGAGCAGAGCACTGTCCCAGCGTGGAGGTTATGAAGCTGATCTACTGCTCATGGCCATTAGCTGCCCACAATGAACACCACTCACATGGGTCACTCCCAGCTTTCCTGAGCTAACACATTTGGCCAGTTGCCACAATTGTTCATGGTCTTGGGGGAGAAAGTGTTTGTGACTTTTCAGAGCCCAGATTCCTGTTGGCTACGAAAACTTGAAAGGAGGGGTGGTTAGCATTTCTCTTCTTCCCGAAATGACTTTAAGTGTTATTTTAACCCAGGGTGATTGATAAAAGACTTTCTAGCATTCTCTTCTAGGGCCTTTGGCTTTCACTGGAAGGGGGGCCCTCAGCACCCAGATTTTATTTTTGCAAAGACCCAGGTATGAGTCTGCCATGTAGATGGACTAGTCTGGCAGTCACTCCTTGCCTCACAGTATTTGGAGGCAACAGCATATGCCTTATTTCCTTGAAGACATAGCATTTGTGACACTTGTCCTCTTGGCCTAGAGCCATTCATCCACTCTGTATTTGCCATAAACTTCACATTTCAGACCAAAATATCTCTACCTGGACCCAATCACATACATACACGGGGGCCTCTGAAATCATTCTGTGGGCACAGAACCCCAAGGGGTAAATGAAGTTACCAGTGCTGTTTTTAACCATCTCCTGGGTAATAACACAACCCTGACTGGTTCTGCTCTGACCTCTTGGTCTAAAAGATTTAGAAGGGAGGGTCTCTGAGAACCGTGGCTTTGCTTAATGCTCTGATTCTGCTGTGAACAGGGAAAGATGGTTCAGCCCTGAAGGTTAGGATCTAGCAGGAGCTGGACAGACTTAATATGCGGTTGTGGGGTTTGTTAAAATGGCTATATGTGAGGATCTCCTCCAGGTCAATGTAAAACTGTTTTCCAGTTTGTCTTTTTTTTTTTTTTTAATGCATTAAAAGATTGACACGTGAAACAAATCACTTGAAGGTGATCCCTCTCCCCCTCTGTGACGGCTGCCTCACTCCCTCGGCCACTTCCCTGCATGCCTGGTGCCCTGCTACAGACTTTACATTCACTAGTCTGCTTATGGCTCAAACCAACCCAGTAAGGGGGATGTTATTCCTATTTTACAAATGAGAAAAAACTCAAAGATCTTAGATAATTTGGTCCAGTCCCTACAGTGACAAAGTGACTGACCCAGGAGTCACACCCATGTCTGTCTGGCAGCATAGCCGTGCAGTTCAGCTCTGCCCTGGTCAGATGAGACTAGGCTTACCCTTGGAGCACATCTGCTATGTGCCCTGTCTGATACCAGTAGTCTGTGATGATTGCAGGGTTTTTGTTTTGTTTTGTTTTTTGGGTTTTTTTTTTTTTTTAATTTTTGGTCATTTCCTGGCATCTCCCCCAGCTCCCTTCTCCTTTTGTGCCACCATAAAGGCAAATCTTGGAACTGACAGAGCTTTGATGTTGTCTAAGCTAATCTCTCGTTAGCTAGTAAGATCTTCCAGGGCACGTCTAATAGGTTACCATCCGGCCTGTGTTTGAATACCTCTAAAAGGAAGCTAGCTGACTGCCATGCAACGACTGTCCATTTTCTTTTTCAATTTATCCTTTCCAGCTTCACTGAGATGTAATTGACATATCATTTTTTTCACTGCCCATTTTGTTGTGAACAATGAAAACTAAGAGAAAGTGGGATTGTTTAAAGCCTCTTAAACATTTTAAAAGCCTTAAGTAACTCAAGTACATGATTGCAAAAATCCAATCCAGTTAGTAAAGAGGGGACATGCAGTGAAGTAGAATTTCCCAATCCAGAATCCCAGTTCCACGTTCTACTTTCCAGAGGCAGTTACTCTGAACAGTTTTGGGTCTATCCTACCAGAGACAGTCTGCATGCACAAGCAGATAGATATGTATACCTTAGCCTCTGTATGCATACAAATGTGAGCACATGGTAGATGTGCTCTTCCCATCTTGCTGCTTTTACTTAACAGTATGCCTTAGAGATTGTTCCATATTTGGCACATACAGGTGACAAAAATAGCAATCACTAATACTTATAGTGTGTTTACCATGTACCTGGTACTCTTTTGAGTTCTGTACATTTATTAACTTTTTAATACAACCACCATGAGGTAGGTACAGTTACTCTCCTCAAGAAACAGGAGGTTAAGTAAAGTACCCAATACGACAGTGAGTCAAAGCATTCTGGTTCTAGAGCTCATACTTTTAAAGGTTTTATTTTATTTTAGAAAGAGAGCACAAGTGGGGGAAGGGGCAGAGGGAGAGGAAGAAGCAGACTCCCCGCTGAGCAGGGAGCCTGACTGGAGGCTTGGTCCCAATCCCAGGACCCCAGGATCATGACCTGACCCGAGGGCAGACACTTAACTGACTGAGCCACCTGGGCACCCCTGCGGCCCATACTTTTAATCACTATGCTGGAATTCCTCCTGCTATAATACCTTTCATTGCCGCAAATTGTATCATCTGGCCAACCCTCTCTGTACAGAAAACTGAGAAAGTATTTTCCTTTTTCAGGCAGCTAAGGGAAAGGGAGTTGGGAGCGGTTATTGGATGAATCATCCAACAGTGTCTGCCACAGACAGGAAGCCCAGTGTCCCCTCTGAGAAGACTATCTCCTTGCAATGTGCCCTGTTGTCTCGTAGCTGCAGTTGTGGTTTAAGAAGCTAAACAGGAGCAGGTTTCATGGGAGAATTGTGTTGCTTGCAGTCAAGAAATAGTGTCTTAAAATTCCATACCATATGGTTGACACTCTATAGAGGAATCTGCAAGCTGGATTAGACAAAAATCCAGTCAAACTGCTTTGTTGCAAGTGACAGAAATCCAGCTTGAGCCAGTTTAAGTAAGAAAGGGGTTTTATTGGCTTACACAACAAATCATGGAAAAGACTAGCTTGAGAGGCAATGTAATATTGCCTTGGGCAAGTTACTTAATCTCTCTGCCCTGTATCCTAAGCTGTACAATGGGAACAACAACAGTGCCCCCGCAGAATTGGTTCAGAGTAAATGAGCTACTATATGTAAACATTAAAGATAGCTCCTACCACTCTGTAAGTAATAATGTTATCATTGCAGGGACAACTATGTCCAGAGCTCTTTGTTTTCGATATCTTTTTTTAAGATTTTATTTATTTATTTATTTATTACTATTTTTAAAGATTTTATTTATTTATTTGACAGAGAGAGAGAGAGCACAAACAGGGCAAGTGGCAGGCAGAGGAGAGGGAGAAGCAAGCTCCTCGCTGAGCGAGGAGCCTGACGTGGGGCTCGATCCCAGGACCCTGGGATCATGACCTGAGCTGAAGGCAGATGCTTCACTGACTGAGCCACCCAGGCACCTCTGTTTTCTATATCTTTTTCACCTGCACATTAGTAGAGGTATGGACTAGACTGCTGTAACAAGAGACCATGGAAATACTGTGGCTCCAACAAGTTAGAAAGTTCTCTCTCTCTCACCTAACAGTGCAGGGATAGGCAGGTTGTTCAGGGCAAGTAGGTGGCTGGGCTCCATGAAGTCATCAAACACCCAAGCTCCTCCTATCTTGTCACATGGCCATGCTTAGCCACAAGGGAGGCTGTAAATTTAGTCACTGGCTGGGTAGCCAAAACTCTGAGGAAGGAGATTTCTAACAGTAAAAGGAAGGGAGGGGGGAGACTGGACATAGGGAGACAATAAGCAAGCTCTCCCAGGCCTGTGTGTTAGCTTCCTTTTCTCCTCCTGCAAGGGGGCTTTCTCCATGCACTGTGGCACGTGGCAGCTGACAGCTCCAGACTTGTACCCTCTGAGCTTGGTGACCCTGAAAGAAAGGCTTCTTCCCTCCAGTTCTAATTGGGGAAGTCCCACAGAAAGGTTCTCAGTGACTTCTGGTGAATCCCATACCCTCTTGGATTAATCACTGCAGCCAGGGCCCTACAATAAACCTGATCTGGGTCATGAGCTTTCCTCCATCACCCTGTGGTGGAGAAACAGCAGAGCCCATCACCAAAGCAAGGTGCTGGGCAGATGGAAACAATAGCTACAGTGAAAGAGTCTATAATTATGGACCGATACTGTTAGAAAGGCTGTTGACAGCCTTATGTGTCCTAGGAAAGGCCAGCTGGACTCTTGTCTCCATGGTGGCTCTCACCCCAGGGACAATCTGTCACCAGATAATTACCTTTAAAACCCCAGAGAAGAAAGTCTCTTTGTCCTCACAATACTCCCAGAAGAGCAGACTGATGGGAGAACCTTGGTTGGAACTGTTTCCAGTTGGCTTAGGGTAGAATGGGGATTCACTGGCTCGTGGAGCTGATAAGGCTAGGGCCAGATGGGGTTTCAGGCCATATTCCAAGACTCACAACAGCATCATCAGGGATCTGTCTCTTCAGCCCTTGACTCTGCTTCCCTTTGAGTTGGCTTCACGAGTGACCCTCCAGCTCCAGTTATTGGTAGAAAGAGCTCCCCTTCCTTTTTTTTTTTTTTTTAAGATTTTTTATTTATTTATTTGAGAGAGAGAGAGAGCACAAACAGGGGGAGGGGCAGAGGGAGAGGGAGAAGCAGGCTCCCCACTGAGCAGGGAGCCTGATGCAGGGCTCCATCCCAGGACCCCTAGATCATGACTGGAGCCAACGGCAGCTGCTTAACTGACTGAGCCACCCAGGCGCCCCAAGAGCTCCCCTTCCTTGACAAAACCCCTGGACCTGGTTGTCATTGGCCCAAACCTGGGATGTATCCAGCCTCAAGTAATCATTGTGGCCAGGAAAATGGAATGCACTGATTGCCTAGACCTGGGCACATACCCACATGGACTGAGAGCTGGCGCCTAGTGGTTGGGGGGGGAAGGTGGTATTACCAGAAGAGGGGATGAATGGCTGCAGGGCTGTCCAGTTCAGGCCCTTCCTTTTCTCCAGTTGTCTTCACTGCCCACAGTCTCCCTGCCTACCCTTAACCATCTCTCCAGTCTCTCATTACCCTTGATCTTGTTGAGGGGGGTGCCTTGTGAGAGGCACCTGGGCCTGGCACAGAGAGGATGTTGCTTAGGCAAAGTAGAGTGTTCAATAGAGTCATTTAGAGGATGTTCCTCTGCCTGGAACTGCTTCCTCGTGGACCCCACGAGTCTTTGTGGAGGGACCCCTATCAAGGCCTAGATAGAATTTTAGTTATGGACTTGCGTTCTTGTCTGGGCCCACCCAGCTGTGAGTTCCTGAGGAGTCAAGTGTGAGCCTGTGGGTATCCAGCACATACTTAATGGGGTGATTACGTGGATGTGAGCTCCTCCTCCCCTGAGTCCCTACCCAGCCTAGATAAGTCTCACGTTGCGGGATCCCCGGTGCAGGGAACAAGGTTGAATGACTGACTCATGTGCCTCATGTTGACTGATCTGTTGCATGTGGTTGCACAGGGCTCCCGTGGTTAATTGGAATCTGCAGTGCCTCTGAATTAGTCACTTCTGCATGGGCCATTTCACGAAGAGCCTAAGGCCATAGTCCCCTTCTTAGTCACTCTGACCCATGTGGCTGGTGACAGACTTAAAGTAACTCAGACAAACATTGCTTCTATTTAATACATCCTTGGAAGCTTCTCAGCTATAAAGGGATCTTGGTGGCTAGGGAGGCCTTTCTTGGTGTATTGATCTGGCCAGTGAGAGCCCACAGGGGTCTAGAACATGGAGCCCCAGACATGTTCTGACTTGCCCTCAGCCATTCTCCAGGACAAATTGACGTTAATGGACATGGTTGGTTGCTTTGGGTGATCAGATCTGGCTGGCTGGTCCCCTGGGGGTAGCTTCTGTGGAGCTGTGAGGCCCCTGTTATTACATTGGCAGTGTTGAGACAATGTGTTAAGGCTTGGTTATTTCAAAACAGTTGTCAGCAAAGTGTCCTGCCAGGTTGGACCAGTTCTGTAAATCCATGATTGCTGAAACTCTTCTAGAGCCCCCAGTAATGGTGTTGTGCTTTTCTAGACATACACTTGCTGCCTGTAGGGCTAGGAAGGTGGGACCCTGACCACTTGCTACATCTCCCATTTACTCATTTAACAAATACCTGTTGAGCCACTGCTGAGTGCCAGGCCCTCCCCTACTTAGCTCCTGGAGATACAGTGGAGAATAAGATGGGGCCAGACCCTTACAGATTAGTAGGAGAGAAAGCCAAGGAAACAGAGTGCTGTGATGGAGGCCTGGGGCCTTTTTTTTGCATCATAGTGGTGAAGACTGTGGGCACCGGAGACAGGCAGACCAAATCCCGGCCCTGCTGTTTACTAGCCTTGTGACTTTGGGCAGGTTATCTCCTCTTGTGGAACCTCGGATTTCTCATCTATAAAATGGGGAACATGCGTAGGGGTTGTTATGAGGATTTAAATGCATTCAGACGTGTAAAGCAGGAGTCCTGGCTCAGGGTAAGCACTCAATGACTGGTAGGTTTAACAACTATTATTAGAAAGTGATACATCTTGAGTGAAATCCCTCACAGTATAAAGGACAACATTCTTACATATTTTTAAATTTAGAATAAAATTAAAAACATCTGTTCATTTAAAATCACTCCACCACAAAGAAGAGATCACCCTTCCTTGCCAGGCACTTATTAGAAAACATTTAATCCTCCCAACTGTCAAAAGTGTAGAGATCTTTACAACTCATTATACAGAGGAGGAAACTGATCATCAGAGAGGTTAAGTAAATTTGCCCAGTGTCACACGGCTAATTAACGACTGAGCTAGAATCAAAGCCAAGTCTTATCTGGCTGCAAAGTCCATGTTTTATGCAGTTCCCCCAGTATCCTGGGCCTCCAAAGCACTTGGCTCTGAGGAGGATCCTTGCTGCCCAGTCGGTTAATCCTTTGTTTTCCTGAAGTTTTTGCTGGTGGGTTGGCCACACCTACTTTTCATGAAGCACTCTGACCCAGGTCCTGAAATGAGAAGAGTTAGCACAAGATGTCCCTGCTTCCCTAAGGAGAAGAGATGGCTTGTTCTGTATCTCCAAGTCCATGGGCCATCACACAGATGGTTCGGGCATATGAAAATCATCTAAGAGAAGAGACATGAGAATGGCGTCCACACCCTCTCTGGTTTTCAGACCTTGGGTCTGGACATTCAGCCTTGGTCTTTCTTAGCCCTACCAACATACCTCTTTTCAGCTGTATTCATCTAACCTTTGGTGTCTGCTGGGCACACTTTCTGACTTTGTATGGAACAGCAAGAGCCTGCAGAAGCAGTAGGGCCAGAGGAAGGGGAGAATAAGGAAATTTGAGACTCAGGAACTGCAAGGCCTCTTGGAGACCCTGAGAATAGCCACAGGTTCTCTTTATTTCAATCATCACAACAGCAGGAGGCATGATCATGTGCCTGGTGTGTTTGAAGTGCTGTCCTCACAGAAGCTCTTCACAAGAACCTTCGGAGATAGGCACGTCCCACATAGAATCCTAGGAGATGGGCACTATAATTATCTCCATTTTATAGAGGTGGAGGTAAAGGCACAGAGAGGTTAAGTAGTTTGCCCATACAGCTAATAAGGGGAGGAACTGGTGTTTGAACCTGGGGTTCTCTAGTCCATGAGTTTAAGATCTATGTCATATTGCTTTTTGGTAGGGAGTGAGTGAGTGAACAAATGAGTCTGGGATTGGCAGCTAGCCAGACAGACAAGGCCCCCAGGGACACCATGAGGGGTACTTTGGAGCTAGCAGAGTTGGGTTGCAATTCTAGCTGTGCCACCTCCTGCCTACAGGACCTGGGGCAATAGTGCTCATTTCCTCATCTTCAAAATGGGAATAAGGTCTTCGTGAGGATTCAGGGAGATCATCTCTGTAAAGCTCTTAGCCCCATGCACGGCATCTAGTAAGGGCTCAGTAAGCGTTCAGGGACACTCTGCAGATAGATGGTATTAACGTGGCATAATTGCAGCTGTACTGATCAAAAGTCCATGTTGACAAGAACTAGAAAGGAATATGAAAACAGTTGTTAAGGGTTGAAAGGGAATTAAAGTTTCTTCAATGCTTTATCATTTCTTAAAAAATGTTCCTAAATGGAATAAATAAAATATACATGCAGTGGGTGTTAAGTGGTTTTTGATCCCATTGTTTCAAAGTCTTATGGGGGTTGTTTCTACCTCTGCAAAAAAGAGTTAGCACTTCAGGCCTGTGGTTATAATTCTGTCAATGCTGAATTTGCTAGGGGTTTGAGTGAATTTGCAATGAGAAAAAAAGGGGAAGTTTTAAAAAATGACTTTGTATTTTGTGGCTTTTATATCTGGAAATATAAAATCGATTTAAAATGTTATATAGTTGTAATTTCATAAATGCTAGAGGGATCATCCCATCAAAGAGAGATGCAAAAAAAATTAAGAAGGTGTTGGTGGGATACAGCTTCCTCCGTTTTGCTACCAGTGGGTGTGTTGGAGTTTAAATTCTTTGAGTATCAGAACCAGAACAGGTCTTCAGGACTGATGATTTTTGCTGTGATTAATGTCTGTTGGAACCTCTGGAAGGTGCGACAACATGAAAAGAGAGGCAATTTCTGGATGACAATGCACATTTGGCATTGGAAAAAGCAGTTAAATTGCCAGTGAGCCCTAGTTGAAATCAAATGTCTGACGCATGGAGGCTGATGACTGGCCAGCCTGATGCGCCTGGTTTTGGGCCAGTCAGTTCGGACTCTAAGACTGACAGCAGGAAGAGGAAGCCTTGCTCATCACTTAGACCGGGACCATGGCTGTCTGGTACTGCAGTATGTCTTTCTGCAACAAGCCGGAGAGAAGCAGCTGATTCTCGGAATCCCAGATCCCCTGATTCTTCTTGTCTGGATGTGACGAAGCTGAAAACTGCTACAGGCCGCAGGCAGCTGTTTCAGTCCCAGCAGGAGCCGTGCTGACCTGGAAGCAGACGCAGGCTCCATGTAAAGGACTCAGACCCTGCGGCCACTGGAGATTTAGGACCCCTTCTGTGGAGCTCTAAAGGATGAAGACCTCCATCGTGGATGCTGGCTGGACCATCAGGCCACACACATGCCCACAGAAGAGGCCTCGTTCTCTTATGAGACCCTCTAAAGATCAAGTTGCTGGTCAGCTCTTCATCGCTAACCTGGAGGCTACCCGCACCCTAATTGTGATCCCTGCCAACAGCTGCACATTGGGGGACGGCACATCACAGGGACTGTGACCCCTTCTCCTGCTGTTGACAGATCAGACTTTGGCCTTCTTGATGGGGATGTCTCACTGCTGCTGACTTGCGTTCAGCTTTCTAGATTAGTTGCAACTCACCACAGTGGGCTGCTTCTACTTCCTTACTCCACCCCCCTCCATCCACACTTAGTAAGGTTCATTATCTGAATAGAGCTGTCTCCAGAGAGGGATTGATCGAGGCTGTTCACTGGATAAAAGGAGTGGGAGGTTCTGTAAACCCATTTTGAAATTTTTTGAAAATTCAGGCTTTCATCCTCATTAGTCGGCTAGGGCTGCCATCACAAAATGCCTTAGACTGGGGGGCTTAAATAATAGAAATGTGTGTTCTCACAGTTCCGGAGGCCAGAAGTCCAAGACCAAGGTGTCAGCAGGTTTGATTTCTCTTGAGTTGTCTCTCCCTGGCTTGCAGGGGGCCACCCTCCCATGTGTTCTGCCGTAGTCGCCCCTCGGTCTTGTGTCCTAATCTCTTTTTACAAGGACACCAGTCAGATCAGATGAGGGCCCACCCTAGTGAGTCCATTTTAATTGAGTCACCTCTTTGAAAGCCCTGTCTCCCAATATAGTCACATTCTGAGGTACTGGGGGTGAGGGCTTCAGCACAGGAATGGTGGCGGGGGGGCGGTTAGGGATACATCCTGACCAATTCCCGAATTTGTCTTTCTGGTTAAGTGAGATAAAAATGTTTACCTGCAAAAACGTATTTGTGCCTCCTGCATACAGTCCTTGCAGATAAAAGGCCTGGAGAAGAAGAGGTGATTGAAAGAATGTTGTTGGGTTGCTGAATGTTGGGGCCTGAAGACTTTGTAACAGTGGAGAAAAGTACTGGCACCTGGGGAGCCTTGGGCAAGTGGGTGGGGGGCATTTATGACCTTGGTTCTTCAGAACTCTATCTGGAAGCTTTCCCCTCTTCCTGACAGAAGATTCCAGAGCTGCCTTTCCATGCGCTGGAGCGCTTTGAGCTCAGACTGCTGAGCCTGTGCTCACAGCTCACAGCACCGCCTGACAACAGAGGGTCTGGGCTCCTGCACTTCCCACACAGAACGCACACTCACAAGATGCATACCTCTGTATCATAGACAAGCAGAACAAAGGGCTGGTTGGATCTTTCAGACTGAATTGGAAACTCCAGGGCAGGAGGCCGCGTGGCAGAAGGCTTACATTGGGGGTCCTGTTAACCTCCACCACCTAACATATGCCCTGCTTGAGGTACCCTAACATTGCAAACTCGTTTCCAGGGGGAGCATGTGCCCTCTGGGATTCTACTTCTGTCTCTGTGCCCTCTCGCCACACTGTTTCAGCCCTGGAAGTGTTGATCTGAAGATCAGCTTGAACTTGCTGGTCACAGCCTTGCTGTACCTGAATTGGTATCTAGGGCCAGGTAAAAATGAATCATACAGAAGTTTAGTTAGGGAGCCACTTGACTTTCTAAGATAGACTGTTGTTTTTATTTAATTGAGGTATAGTTGACATATACCATATCTAAAATAGACTTTTATGGCTAATGGGATTTATTTTAACTGGCTAAATGTAGGACCTCTAAGGAGCATAACTGAGATCAGTACTTCAGGTTGGTCTCATCCTTTTGCATGGGGTCCTACTGATAATAAACTTGCTGTATAGAAGCCTGGGCCAACGGCCAAGGTGGGGGCTGGTGCAGAAGAGAGTTAACAGAGTAGGCCTGAGACTGCTCTCCTTGTTTGCAATGCTGACATCTGGGTAACTGGATTTCGGGAGGATTCTCAACATTCCCTAAATGATAAGAGTGGCTCACTGTGCCTAAACTGTGCAAACAAAATGGTTTATGCTGAATACCTTGCTTTCCTTCCAGGAATCCAGAATTTGGGTATGTGCTAGGCAGAGGGTGCCGACTTGACCGGCCCCCAGTAAAAGCCCTGGGTACTGAGTCTCTAAGGAGCCTCCCTGGCATATAACATTTCACACTTCTTATCGTAACCCACTGCTGGAGGAACTGTGTCCTGTGTAACTCCACTGGGAGAGGGCTCTGGGAAGCTTGCTCCCGGTTTCCTTTGTTCTATGCACCTTTTCCCTTTGCTGATTTTGCTTGGTAGCCTTTCGCTGTAATAAATTATAGCCTGCTGACAGTAAGACTATATGCTGAGTCCTGTGAGTCTCCTAACAAGTCGTTCAAACTGCGGAGTAGTTTTGGGGACTCCCAAGATGGCACAAGGGGGACTTTTGGGGTGTTGGTAGTGTTCTTTTCCTCAATTTGGGTGTTGCTCATGTGAGGTGGGTTCAAGTTGTGAAAATTCATTGAGCTGTAGTTATGTAAACATTTTCTCTACATATCTTAAACTTCAATAGGAAGATTACACACCACAAGGATAAAAAATAATAGCAAGTTAATTTTTTTAAAAAACCTTCCTTTTATTCAGCAAACATTTCAGTTACTCCTTTTTACTAGGCATTGCTCTGGGAGCTTGGGACATGGGCTAGGAAAGACGTCATCATCACCTCTCAGTTTATTGGGAGGCAGGTAAAGAGATACTTACCATATGGTTGATACTTGCTGGGCTCTATCCAAGACATCATAGGGTACAGGGGGGGAACAGAGAAAGGGCTTCTAACTAGGGCATTTTGCTGTTCTAGGTCTGCCACTCACGTACTTTGGGAAGTCAGGCAAATGGGCCAAGGGAAATAGCAGCGAACTATCGCAAACTAGGAAAGTATGTGGCATAGAGTTGTGGAACCTTCTAGTTTTTGTTTGTTAGGAAAAAACAAAGCTGAAGTTTTATGTAAGCTCTCTTGATTTTTAAGTGCTGTAAATGAATCCAAATTTTCAGAAGTGGGAGGCCAAACAAAACATACCCGTGCAGGGTGTATGGCTGTGGCCTACCAGTTTGCTGGGCATTCTGCCAACCAGCCATCCTTCCTCTCACCAGAGACTTGGGGGTCCACTCTTTTAGACCCTGGGAAATACAGCAGTGAGCAAGCCAGACAGACAACTTTCTTGAATAGTGGCGGGGGGTGGGGGGGAGACTGGTACTGTGAGCCTCAAACATCAGTATGTGTGGGAATCACCTGGCAGTCACATTGAAAGGCAGATTACTGAATCAGGAGGTCTGGGGTAAGGCCTGAAATTTTCTTTCTAACAACTTCCCAGGTGATGGTAATGCTGGTGGTCCCTGAACCATATGTGCTTTGAGTGGAGTTTGCTGTATATTCCGGAGGGGCTTAGGAGCAGCTGTTATTCTGAAAGTAGGGGCCTTGCCACGAAAGTGCATCTGCCTGGCAAGCTCCGTGTTTTTACTTGGGTTTTAGCTTATTGGGGTGTCTCAGAAGAGAGCTGAGGACATCGGAGGCGGGTGCCTAAAGCTGCCCTGCCAGGTCTCTATTCTCGAGTTTATAGTATAGAAGGCGGGGCGGGGGTGGAGGAAGGTGTTAGGAAAAGCTTCCTGGAGGAGGTGCATGGGAACTGCAGGAACTTCCTCGGCCGCGGAGAAAGGGAGAAACCCTGAACTCCCCCCTCTCCTTGGGCCTGGTCTCGGCATCCCCACGCCGGGTACGGTTTCCCAGGCATCCCACGTGTCTGCTGTGCGCGAGTCCCTGTCAATCAAGTCTCCCCCAGCCCAGGACAGGGTACGGGTTTAAAGGAGGCAGCGGTGCGGAGCGCTCCCATCGTGCCGCGCGGCGGGCGGGTTTGGATTTTAAATCCCCGCGGCCAATCAGTGGTGCGCAGGCTCTTGTAACGTTCCCGGCGCCGCGTTTGAATTCGAGGAGGAGCGAAGCGGTGCCAAGCCTCTGCTCAGACTCTGCTAGGTCCGCGGAGCAACTCCGGGAACATGAGTGCGGCGGCAACTGCAGGGAAGCTGGCGCGGGCACCAGCCGACCCAGGGAAAGCCGGGGGCCCCGGAGTTGCAGCTCCCGGGGCCCCGGCAGCCGCTCCGTCGGCGAAAGAGATCCCGGAGGTCCTAGTGGACCCGCGCAGCCGGCGGCGCTACCTGCGGGGACGCTTTCTGGGGAAGGGCGGCTTTGCTAAGTGCTTCGAGATCTCGGACGCTGACACTAAGGAGGTGTTCGCTGGCAAGATCGTGCCTAAATCGCTGCTGCTCAAGCCGCACCAGAAGGAGAAGATGTCCATGGAGATATCCATTCACCGCAGCCTTGCCCACCAGCACATCGTAGGCTTCCATGGCTTTTTCGAGGACAACGACTTCGTATTCGTGGTGTTGGAGCTCTGCCGCCGGAGGGTGAGTGTCGCTGCCCGGGGGCCGGGGTTTGGGGTGCTCGGGGGGCTCGGAGCTGCTAGAGAGGAGGTGCTGGGAACTTCGATCTAGGGGTTGTAAAGGCCTCGAGGAGAGGGGAGAGGGTGCTTGGCACTTGGAGCTGCTAGGGGGAGGGGGTTCCTGCTAAGTGGCGCCCGAGTCCTGTTGCTGCTAGGGAAGGCGGCTCCTGGACGCTAGGTGTTGAGCGGGTAGGAGAATCCTGGTACTGGACGCAAGGGCTTCCGGAGTTGCTAAGGGGGGAGTCCCGGGGAAGGGGTGCTGCGGTTCGGGAGCTTCCGGAGTAGGGTTGGGTCGGGGAGAGGGTGGTTGGAGCCAGACTTCGGAGCTTCCGGAAGGAGAAGCGGCTGGAAAGGGATCTCCTGCGGCGCGAAGGCCGGGGGGAGGGATACTGCCGACTCGGAGCTGCCGGGAGTGGGGCTGAAAGAGGCATCCCAGGTAGGAGGCTTGGGAGGGAGCTAGTGGGAGAAGGGGTGCTATGAACGGTAGTGGCCAGGCTCGCAGCTGTCCTGGAGAAGGAATGGGGAGAGGAGCCCTGGGCTGCCTTTAATGACAAGCCCTTCCCCCTGTGCCTCGGTACCGGCTCCCCATTCCTCCTCTCCTTCCCCCACTCAGTCTCTCCTGGAGCTGCACAAGCGGAGGAAAGCACTGACTGAGCCGGAAGCCCGCTACTATCTTCGGCAAATTGTCCTTGGCTGCCAGTACCTGCACCGAAACCGGGTTATTCACAGGGACCTCAAGCTGGGCAACCTTTTCCTGAATGAGGATCTGGAGGTGAAAATAGGTGAGTGCTGGCCCTGCAGGAGGAGTGCTTGACACCCCCAGAGGCGAGAATGAGGAGGAGGAAATAGGAAGGAAACGAGGGAGGAAAAGGATGGTAGAAGTCTGGGCTGTTGGCCTCTAGAATCCTCTCTTTCGTACAGAAATTTAAAACCAAGAGCCCCAAACCTGTATCCTGCAGATGCATTTTTTAGTGCTTCCACACAGTACTTAAAAAAAAAAAAAAAAAAAAAAGAATTTGAATTAGTTTCCATGGATATAAATTGGGATGTTTGACATAAAAATTGGGATTTGGAACTCCTTTTAAACAGCTGGGAGCTTCCTTAGTTCTGAGACAGTATCCCCTCAGGCAGCTCTTTGCTGGGCTAAAACCCCTCTGTTCCCCTTAGGCTCCCTCCGATTTGCCACAGTCCCCACCTCTCCGTTATTAACTCACAAACTTCCCAAATAGGGGTCCTGACCTTTACTTGTTGATCCCTGAGGGCCCTCCTTTCTAAGGGGAGGGGCGAGGAGGGGCGCTGGGAGGTCCCTCCCCTGGGCCAACATAGTGGGAAGAATCTTGGACAAGCCTTGCTGCCTACAACGAGTAGGGGCCCAAGAGAGGAAATGACCCTGGTTCTTGACAGTCACACCTGTACCAGCTTTCTGCATTGCCAGATGACAGAGGCTAGCAACTGAGTACCCCCTCTTCCTCCCTCTGTCCCAGGGGATTTTGGACTGGCAACCAAAGTGGAATATGACGGGGAACGCAAGAAGACCCTGTGCGGGACTCCTAATTACATAGCTCCTGAGGTGCTGAGCAAGAAAGGGCACAGTTTTGAGGTGGACGTGTGGTCCATTGGGTGTATCATGTAAGTTGGGAGTTGTCTCAGGACGTACCTGCCCTTTTGGATGTCTCACCTGGCTGACTTTATTCTTTGGCCCTTTCTGGCTATGGAGAGGCTGCTCCAGAGAACAGATTGCCCAAAAACAAAGCCTGGTTTCCATACCTTTCCTTGTCACTGGTGTATCCTGTGGGATTCCTGCAGCAGCCTGGGCTAAGGCACTGGGGAAGAGGGCTGGGAGGCCTCCACAAACCTGCTCTAGGCCCTTGCTACTCAAAGTGTGGTGCAAAGGGCTGCAGCATCACCCAGGAACTTGTTAGAAATGCAGAATCTCACTGGCTCAGAATCTGGATTTTAAGATCCCTGGGTGATTTCCAGGCACAATGAAGTCTGGATCAAGGCCTCCCGAGGTGGGTGGGTGGTGGGCAGAGGGTTGGGCGTTTTTGGGTGTTCTCTTTTTTATTGTTGTTTGCCAGGGTACTGGTAGGAGAAGTGAGTTGTAGCAGTGGCTTCCGTACTTCTTTGCAGTAGAGCTTTTTCAAATGAAAACTTCATGTCTTGAGTGCAGAACTATCAAAGTGGAGCTGCCTCGATAGGGGCAGGTAGCCCATGCACTGGGACCTGTTTTGTTTTGTTTTGTTTTTTAATATATTTTTTTAAAGATTTTATTTATTTATTCATGAGAGACGGAGAGAGAGAGAGAGAGAGAAGCAGAGGGAAAAGCAGGCTCCCAAGGAGCAGGGAGCCCGATGCGGGACTCGATCCCAGGACCCCAGGATCATGACCTGAGCCAAAGGCAGATGCTTAACCATCTGAGCCACCCAGGCGCCCTGGGACCTGTTTTGTACTGGCCGGCAGCCTTTGGGGCCCTGGATTCCTGTAGGCTCCAGCTGAAAAGTCACTACAAGTCTTAAGAGTCCTGGTGCTGTCGCCTGTCTTCTCCTGAGAGCTCAGCCCCACCCGTGTCCTGGCTCCTGTGGACTTGAGGACTATCCTTGGGGGCCCCAAAGTCAGAGTTTCCAGATGCCAGCCCTGAGATGATTTCTCTGGCAGGTAGGTTTTGGCTGGGAGCCTCAAGCCAAATCAGCCCCCTTGTGCTCACAGGTATACATTGTTAGTGGGCAAACCACCTTTTGAGACCTCTTGCCTCAAAGAGACCTACCTCCGGATCAAGAAGAATGACTACAGTATTCCCAAGGTGACTAAAACTTTTTTTTTTAAGTTTAAGTTTATTTTGTGTTTTGGGGTTATTTTTCCCCAAAAGCTGTTTACTGAGCCCAGCCATATCCTGGGGACAGAGATAGGTCAACCCTACCCCTAGGGTAGCCACAGAGCTTTGGTGGATCTGTGTTTGAAATTACAGAGCTTGACATGTGTATACAGAGGCATTTTTTCTAAGGGGGGAGAGTTTGTAGATTCCCAGAGGTTGGGTAGATAACCCAAAAGATGTGGAAAGAGAAAAAAAAATGGGGAGGGAGTAGGAGGCAGACACAGAAGTGCTGCTTAACCTCTGGAAATGGACCTTCTTGATTTAACTAGGCTCTGCCACGTAGCAGCCAGATCACAGTGGGCAAGTGACCTGAATCTCTTGAACTCTAGTTTCCCATTTATAAAAGGGAGCAGCTCGTGGGGTGCCTTGCACACAGTAGGCACTCACAGAATCCTGAACCACCGTGAATCCAAAGTGGTGCGCATTTTCACAGCCACTGGCATCAGTGCACTGGAAAGGAACAGCCTGTTTCTGCAGAAGCCCGACATGTGGCTGCTTTCCGGTTTGGTATCTTTGACTCCTGTGAAGTCAAGGGCCATAAGGACAGACAGATGAAATCTGTCATGACGTGTGGCTGCTTTCCGGTTTGGTATCTTTGACTCCTGTGAAGTCAAGGGCCATAAGGACAGACAGACGAAACCTGTCACGAAGGGTCATTTAACTGTCAGATGGACAGACCCTGGAGGGTTCAGAGTGGGTGCGCAAGACCACCCCAGTGCTTTGGTGTGGATGCTGGCTTCACCACTCATTAGGTATGTATTCTTAGGAGGGGCACTTAACCTCTCTGTGCTCCGTTTCTTCCTCTGCAAAAGAGAGATCGTAATAGAGACTCCACCCCTTAGATGTTTTTGTGAAGGGTCGGTGAGTTAATATGCATGACGTGCTTGCAACGCTGCTGGCACATATTAAGTGCACAGCTAATGCTAGGCTGTGACTATGCCTTTGACCTGTGCTAGGTTACCCCCCATCAAATCCTAGTAGGACTCCAGGCTTGGTGCTATGTCCTTGCTTTCCAGAGGAAGATACAAAGTCCTGAGCAAGTCGGGTCCCTTGCCACAGCTGCTGTTAGGGAGAGTACTGGGACTTAACCAGGTCTTTATGACCCCCCAGCCTGTGTTCTCAAGTGCTATCCTAGTGGTGAGCGCCTTAAGTTACTCGAGAACAAATTCAGGGGAAATCCAATGAATCTTGAGTCTCAAAAGGAAGGAGAAGTGATCATTCTCACAGCTTAGGTTGACATTTATCAACTCAGTAAAGCCAATATGGGGAACCTGGCAAATTTATGGCCATTGAACATGGCTTATGTGGGCCAGGGGCTGTGGTGCCTTTATGACAGACTGCACTCGGGTCCTCCATCATGTCCCGCTCACGGCCCTCCCTCTCTGCACCAGCACGTCAACCCTGTGGCCGCCTCCCTCATCCAGAAGATGCTTCAGACAGATCCTACTGCCCGCCCCACCATTCATGAGCTGCTCAATGACGAGTTCTTTACCTCTGGCTACATCCCCGCCCGGCTCCCCATTACCTGTCTCACCATTGCACCCCGGTTTTCCATCGCTCCCAGCAGTCTGGACCCCAGCAGCCGGAAACCTCTCACAGTCCTCAATAAAGGTAAAACAGTAGACCCCCAGAGAGAGCCTAGGCTTCAGATGTGTGGATGGGTGGCCCCCAGAGCACAGGCGTGCAGTAGGACCTGCCTGTCCTTGAATCCACAGCCCCCACCCCCCACCCCCGAGCAAAATGCCCTTCCCCTGGGTGGGCCCTAGTGGGAAAGACACACTTTAACCCTGGCTGGATCATACCTGTCCTGCCCAGAAAAAGGAGAGTGGACTGAATGCCATGCCCAAAAAACTCTTAGATCTTAAAAAATTCCTAACATCACAATTTGATGGTTCATTGAAAAAAAATATGAAAAATTTCAAATATATATGTAGGGCATAATGCAGTGGACCCCCACACCCCCCCACATTCAACAGTCAGATTATGAAAAGGTGGAAGAATAACAAAAGCTCCCTTTTCTCCACCAATTAATATTTTTCTACACTTTATCTTTCTCTTTTTAGTGTATATAAAGTTATATATGTGTGTTTATGTGCGTGTGTATGTATATACACCCACTTTTTTTCCTGAACTACTTAAAAGTAAGTTGTATACATCCTGCCCTTGACCACTTAATACTTCAGTGTATTTTTCCTAAAGACAAAGATTCTTTCACATAACCACAGCACGTGACACAGTGAGCAAGTTCAGGAAATTTAACACTGGTACAATATTTTGTCTACTGTGGAGTTACTACTTTTTGTAATTTATGGGTGTCCAGTTCAAATACAGTTTTATATGATTTTTACTTCTTTGATTTTATTCTTGTGTTTCAACTGACAATCTTGTTTCCTCATACTATTATACATAAATTTTTCAACATCTATTAACTAGTTCCTCTTATTTTTTTTAATGATGTTTTAGCTTATTCAAGTTCCATTTGTCCTTGGAATATTTACTAAGGATATTTAGTGTTTTTAAAAAGGTTGTTTGAAATACTTTTTTTCTTCTGTGTGGATATAGCACCAATTTAATATATAAATTCATTTGTTTCTGTTGTAATCTAATACTGTTTTGGTTTTTGGTTTTGGGGGGTTTTTTGGTTTTTGGGAGGGGTTTGGTTTTGGGTGTTTTTTTGTTTTTTGGTTTTTTTTTCTTTTTTTTAAAGATTTTATTTATTTATTTGACAGAGAGAGAGTTAGCGAGAGCCGGAACACAAGCAGGGGGAGTGGGAGAGGGAGAAGCAGGTTTCCTGCAGAGCAGGTAGCCCGATGCGGGGCTCAATTCCAGGACCCAGGGATCATGACCTCAGCCGAAGGCAGACGCTTAACAGCTGAGCCACCCAGGTGCCCCAAGATTATTTTTCTTTTTGAATTTTTGAACATAAAGCTTTTTTTTTTTTTAAACTTCTTTTACTGGAAATTTTCTTTTTTTTTTTTTTTAAAGATTTTATTTTATTTATTTGACAGAGAGAGACACGGCGAGAACACAAGGAGAGGGAGTGGGAGAGGGAGAAGCAGGCTTCCCGCTGAGCAGGGAGCCCAATGCGGGGCTCGATCCCAGCACCCTGGGATCATGACCTGAGCCAAAGGTAGACGCTCAACGACTGAGCCACCCAGGTGCCCCATATGCTGGAAATTTTCAAACTTCCCCAAAAGCAGAGAGAACTAACTGGATGAAGAATCCCCATGTATTCATCATCCATTTTCAGTAGTTAGCAACATTACCTGCCTATACATGGTTTTATCCATTTCTATCTTCTCCCCTTTTTTTTGCTAGAGTTTTTATTTTTATTTATTTTTTTAGAGAGAGAAAGCACACGCAGAGAGTGGGGAGGGGGTGGGCAGAGGGAAAGGGAGAATCCTAAGCAGACTCCACACCCAACGCAGAGCCTGACATGGGGTTTGATCTCTTTTTTTTTTTTTTTTTTTAGTATTTTTTGTATTTATTTGAGAGAGGACCCTGTCATCATGACCTGAGATGAAGGCAGATGCTTCACCCACTGAGCCACCCAGGCGTCCCAGGGGGCTCAATCTCATGACCCTGAGAGCATGACCTGAGCCGAAATCAAGAGTCAGATGCTTAACCAATTGAGCCACCTAGGTCCCCAGCTAGAGTTGATTTTTTGGGGGCTTCTTTTTTTTTTTTTTTTTTTTTTAAGATACGTATTTATTTAAGAGAGAGACAGCCTGCAAGCGAGGGGGTTGGGCAGAGAGAGAGAGAGAATCCCAAGCAAGATGCCCCTCTGAGTAGGAAGCCCCACATGAGGCTTGATCTCACTACTCCGAGTCCTGACCTGAGCCAAAATCAAGAGTCGGTTGCCCAGCCAACTGAGCCACCTAGGCGCCCCCTTGCTAGAGTTTTGTTTTTTTTAAAGATTTTATATATATATTTATTTGAGAGAGAGAACAGGGGAGGGGCAGAGGGAGAGGGAGAAGCATTCTTCACTGAGCAGGAAGCCCAACATGGGGCTCAATCCCAGGACCCCGGGATCATGACCTGAGCTGAAGGCAGATGCTTAACCAACTGAGCCACATAGGTGCCCCTTTGCTAGAGGTTTTTTTGTTTCTTTTTTTAAAGATTTTATTTATTTATTTGACAGAGAGAGAGAGTACAGGCAGAGGAAGAAGGAGGCTCCCTGGGAGCCTGATGTGGGGCTCCATCCTAGGACCCTGAGATTATGACCTGAGCCAAAGGCAGACACTTATCCAACTGAGCCACCCAGGTGCCTCCTTTGTTAGAGTTTTTAAAGCAAATCCCAGATATCTTATTATTTCACATTTCAGTTCTTACCACAGGATAATTTTTTAAATTAAAAACTCTGATCTTAAAAATATTAGAAGACAAATTTCATATTCTACAAGGAGAACTAGCACATGTTGGTGGGGAAAGAAACATTAGAGCATAAAGATAAAAAAAAAATCATCCAGGCTTTTCTAACCCAAATATAACCAATGAGAAGAATCTCAAAGTGTATCTTTTCAGATACTTTGGACATCTATATAAAACTTGGGGGTGGAAAAAAGAAATCTCATGTTTTCATCAAATGCCTGCTTAATCCATTTTGTTGATGAGCTGTGTACAATCTACCGAGCCCTCCCATTTTCTTGGATTTTAATTCTTGGCCGGGCAGCTCTGAGCTGGTGGTGCCTTCATGCTGTCTCCTGGAGTGACTGGTGATGTCCTGCAGGGCCCAGGATTGGGGCAGAGGCCAGAGCATCTGAAACTCTTTGGTGTGTGTGGTCATGAAGTCTTCCTTAAGGGCTTGGCTTGGCCCTGGAGGTATGAATATCATACTGCTGTCACATGAGTGTGGCATCTGCTGCTCTATACCCATCACTGACACAGTTTACCCAAAGCAATGGCAGCCAAAATAATTTTTCTCTGGGGAGAGTACCAGCTGTGGCAGAGGGTCCTATGCCCCTCCCAGCCTGCTGCCTTTGTGCCCAGCTAGTGACCATGCATCATCTTTTTCCTAGGCATGGAGAACCCCATGCCTGAGCGGCCCCGGGAAAAAGAGGAGCCAGTGGTCCGGGAGACCAGTGAGGCGGTTGACTGCCACCTGGGCGACATGCTGCAGCAGCTACACAGCGTCAATGCGTCCAAGCCCTCAGAGCGGGGGCTGGTGAGGCAAGGTGGGCATGGTAGGGGCCTGGGGATGGGGTTGCCTGCGCACCTGGAGAGGGCGGGGAAGTCTCTGCTGCAGTGTGTCCCAGGCTTGTCCGGGCCCAGTCTCCATAATATCGTTAGTTCCCTGGTTTTCTATGGATTAAAATCCAAATGGGTTAGCCTGGCATTGAAGGCCCCGCCTATCTTTTTCTGATTCATGTGTTCTGCCTCCACCAGTGCCCCGTCATTCAGCATCTCCATGAGCTACCTTATACATCTGCACATGCTCTTTCTGCTGTTCGGTGGATTCCTGCTTAGTCTTCAAGAGCCTCAGGGCTCTTGCTCATACTGTTCCCTTCTTCTGGAATGTACTTCCTCCACATATGTGCAGGGCTCACACTCGGCTCCTTCAGATGTCTGCCCCATGACAATTTCCCTGGCCCCCCACTCCTAGCACTTCTCACCCCCCCTGTATTTAAATAAGGGATTATTACATGCACTGAACACAACATTTTTTTTTTAAGATTTTATTTATTTGAGAGAGAGCACAAGCAAGGGGAGAGGGAGAGGGAGAAGCAGGCTCCCGGCTGAGCCCTACACAGGGTTGGATACCATGAACCTGAGATCATGACCCGAGCCAAAGTCAGACGCTTAACAGACAGAGCAGGTGCCCCTGAACATAACATTTTGATGTATTTGGAATTGTATATATTCTAACAATTTCTTAATCACTCAGAACCAAAAAATTAGATAATCCATCAGCCACTGACTCTCACCACGATAGAAATAACATTTTGTCCATATTTATGTTGATCAGCCTCTGTCCCTATAATGAGAATGTAAGTTCCATGAAGGCTGGGTTTTATGCCATCACTCACTGCACCTGTGACAGTGCCCAGCACAGGGTGGGCCTTTGATCAGTGGATGGACTGAATGAACTGGAACTTGTCTGTCCTGCTGCTTGCCAGGGCTTGGTGGTGGCACAGGCCCTGCTTGGCTCTTCCTGGGGCCCCAGGCCTTGGATGGAGCCTGGGTGGGGTGCCCAGCAATCCTCCCTGGCATGGGCTACCTGAGTGGACCGCAGGGGAAGACTCTGGTGCTGACCAACCATGTGTTTGTTTCTGTCGCAGAGGAGGCTGAGGATCCCGCCTGCATCCCCATCTTCTGGGTTAGCAAGTGGGTGGACTATTCGGACAAGTACGGCCTTGGTAGGTTGCTTCCAGAATGGGTGGTGGCTCAGGTACGGCCCAGTGACCCTTTGAGCTGTTCCAGGCTCTTACCTTTTTTGGCTCCTTGGTCCTCTGCTGCCAACAATCTCCTGTCTCCCTCCCAGGCCTCTCACTTCCAGCTCCCAGTGCCCCCCTGCTCCCTTCTCCCCCTTCCTGAGGTCTCCCTCCACCTACCAGGGTACCAGCTATGCGACAACAGCGTGGGGGTGCTCTTCAATGACTCGACACGCCTGATCCTCTACAATGACGGCGACAGCCTGCAGTACATAGAGCGTGATGGCACAGAGTCCTACCTCACCGTGAGCTCCCATTCCAACTCCCTCATGAAGAAGGTGAGTGCTGGCTGGTGGCCGCAGCCTGCTGTTGCCGGGAGGGAGGCATGTCCTGGGGCTCTGGCTCCAACTCTGGCCTCCCTCCCTCCCTTTCCAACCAGATCACTCTCCTGAAATATTTCCGGAACTACATGAGTGAACACTTGCTGAAGGCAGGTGCGAACATCACACCCCGGGAAGGCGATGAGCTCGCCCGGCTACCCTACCTGCGCACCTGGTTTCGCACCCGCAGCGCCATCATCCTGCACCTCAGCAATGGCTGTGTGCAGATCAACTTCTTCCAGGTGAACCAGGGTGGGGATAGTCGGGGTGGGGTACCTGTACCCATCCACAGGCCCCTGGAGTGGGGTGGGGAATGGGAGGCGTGGGACCTGTGCTTGGCATCAGGCAGTAGGAAGAGCATGAGGCAAGGTGGGATGGGAACCCCTCGGCAGCTGTGGTGTCTCCCCTCTGCTCCCCTGCATGCACTAGCAGCTGGGACCTTCAGGCCATTGGTAACTCTGTCCGTCTTCCCCCCCGCTTCCCTCCTAGGACCATACCAAACTCATCCTGTGCCCACTGATGGCAGCTGTGACCTACATCGACGAGAGGCGGGACTTCCGCACGTACCGCCTGAGCCTGCTGGAGGAGTACGGCTGCTCCAAGGAGCTGGCCAGCCGGCTCCGCTACGCCCGCACCATGGTGGACAAGCTGCTGAGCTCCCGCTCGGCTGCCAGCCGTCTCAAGGCCTCCTCATAGGCCTTCCTCCCCTCCGGACCGGCACCCCTTCTCACCCCCACAGCATCTTGGCCCGCACTGGTTAGCAACCTTCGTGCCGTTTTCTAGAATGTGCCCTCCGGCCCTGGGGGCTGGGGAGAGTTCTACATCCTTGCTGGTGGGGGTCGCCGTGTTAAGTTATTTTTGTACATGTTCGGGTGTGGGTTCTACCGGCTCCTGCCCTTCTCCCTCAGCCCCACCATATGCATTGTACAGAATACCGCTCTTGAATCCGGGACTGCCCTTTCCTTGCCTTTATATACATTAAACACATGTGAATCTTCTATTTCTTCTGTAGTCCCTGAGGGTGCCTGGCTTCTGGGCTCTGGGTGCGTCTTTGCTCCAGAAGCCCCAGGCTGCTGAGATTTGGCCAGTCTTTTCTGTCACTGAGGCCGCCCTCAGCCACGGGCCCATCCACTGGCTGGTGGCCTCAGCTCCCAGCTGGGCATGGCTCCCTGGCCCTCGAGGCTGGCGGGTAGTAGGGCACGAAGAGACTCTCGGAGGCACAGCGCCTCATGGCGCCATGTGTGTGGACCAGCAGTCGCGGGAAGCGGGCTGTGAAGTACTGGACGAAGCTGTCAGGGACGTGGCCGAGTGCCTGCTGGACCTCTGTCGGGAGCTCCCTGTAGTGGTGTCTCTGGAGGGAGGTAGAGAGAGAGCCCCCGCTCAGCCGTGACCAGGCTGCCCCGTAATCCAGGCCCTGTGCAAACCCTAGGGCACACCTTGTTCCTCATAGCACGGAGCAGGTCTCGCACTGACGTCCCCTTATACGTCCGGAACCGTCTCAGATCTGTGGGCAGGAAACTCCTTGGCAAGGCTGCCCCTGCTGGGTTCCCCTCCGTCCGGCGGACCCACCCCAAGGCTGGCCTCTACCTGTCCGCAGCGGCACAGAGATGTGCTTGTGCCAGTCACCCCGGACCACCGTGGGGCCCCCTGCCTCCAGCGCCGTCACCAGGGGCCCTTGCTCAGACTCCTTCTCCAGCCAGTCACTGACGTCCTAGGACCCCACAGAGCTCTTGAGCCTCATAAGCAGTTTCAGAGGCCACAAGGCCCGTAAGTGCCCTATGGCTTGGGGGAACCAAACGGCAAAAGCTTCTTGGTTTAGGATAAGGATTGTTGCCCCTCGAGTACAGCTTCCCGGTGCCATGTCTCCATGTTACCTGACAGGTCTTCATCAGCCTGTGAGGTAAGTACTGTTATCCCCATTTTACAGATAAGCAAACAGGCTCAGAGGCACCAAGTCCCTTGCTCAAGGTCACACAAGTGGGATGGGCTATCTAGGCACCGTTGTAGCATGAAGTGACAACTAGGGTTGAATGGCATGGGGTCTGTGTCACCCAGGGGTAGGGGGGGCGGGGTGGAGGCTGGGGCTGGGAAGTCTGGTAGTGAGCACACCGTGGAGTGCCAGCCTGGCAACGTCTAGGCCAGAGCTTGGTTCAGAGAAGGAGCTGGGCTTTCTGGAACAGACAAGTCTCTCCCCAGGCACTCTGGCTCCCCCTTTCTTATCACTCGGCACCCAAACTTGGGACTTATTTGGGGCCATCCCCAAGATTTGCCTCTGACCTGGAAGAACTGGAGCTGCTTTGCTCTGCTCCAGAAGAAGGGGTGGGCTAGCACCTGGTGAGCTGAGGGGCGGGCCTGCGGCAAGGGGCTCAGCATATCCTCCACCAGGTTCCTGGCAACCACCTTGTCTGCAGGGACAAACGGGAGGGATGGCTTCAGGCCTGCCCAGCCCCATGCCCTGCTTCCTCCCTTCTCTGCCAGGCCCTGTCCCCCCTCACCATGGGCCTCTTCCTCCAGGTGAGTCAGGCTGGGAGTCCCTGCAAGGATGTTTGCCTGGCGATAAAGACTTTCTCCAAATGGGTGGCTGCCACCAGAAAGCACATAGTAGAACACACAGCCTGCAGAGAAGATGTCCACTGCGCTTGTCTGGGGGCCAGAGAGACCAACATGAGGAGGCAGTCCCTGCTTCCAGGAAGCCTGCCCGGGTCAATTCTCCTGTGGGCTGATACAGTAGCCAGGGCTTTAGTTCAGACTAGAACTCAAGGATGCTTCCTGAGCGCCATCTCCTCGACCTGAGACCTCCACCCCTCTGCACCATTGAAAGGGGCCCTTGATTTTCATCCAAAATCTTGACCCTCCTGAGCTGCTAGTGCACGTGTGCAAGCTGCATTCCTCCAGGCCTAGCAGGTAACAAGCGAGGCTGGCCGGGTTCGAGGGACTGAAGCAGCGATGAGACCGTAAGATCTCCAGGGGACTCTCCCAGGTGGCAGAGCTTTGATTTTTCCAAGAGGATCCAGAAATCAAGATTGCTATGTGAAATTTTCCAAAAGTTGAAATGCTGGCTACTAATTAAAATCTGTACAATCTCATAACATCAGATCCTGTAGTCCTTGGGCCTCCGGGTGGCCACTTCCTGCTTTCTCTTGATTTAGGCATGGCTTTGCCTAGCGGCTGACCTTTCCTATTACTCTCATCTGTGCACATGACTTCATCTTCCACCCACACACTGACAACTCAAATCCATAATCCTGGGGTCTCAGACTCAAGTGTCTCTGGGGGTCAGACCCTGCTCTGGCCTTCAACTATGTTCGCTCCTCTGGTGCTCCCTAAACCCTCTACATCCGTGGTTCTCCCTGGCTACATATTAGAATCACCTGGAGCCTGGCTCTGGGCTAGTCTGGTGGGAATCACTGGATGTGGGGCCTGGGCATCTGACTCTCAAGTTCGCCAGTGATGCTGCAGCACAGTGCAGATTGAAAACCCTTTTCTGTGTCAGGATTTTCTAATCCTGGTACTTTTGACATCTGGGGCCGGATTACTGTCATGGGGGGCTGTCCTGTGCGTTGTAGGATGTTTAGCAGCATCACAGGCCTCTACCCACCAGATGCCGGTTGCAAACCCCGATTCCCCCGCTAGGTGTGACAACCAAAAACGTCTCTAGACAGTGCCCAGTGTCCCCCGGGCAGTGTAATAGTCCCAGGTTGAGAGCCACTGCTGTATGTAAGAAGGGACGAACTATGCCACTGTAAAGATGAAGAAACAGGCTTGGCCACAGCAGGAGCGGCGCCGGGCCAGGGAAGGACTCACAGGACTGTCAGAGGGCGGGAGCTGCAAGAGCTCGGGCGCCATCCAGCCTTCCGTGCCAGGGATGCCCGAGCGGAGGCTGAAGCTGCAGCGGCCAGCAGGCAGCTTTTTGCAGAGGCCGAAGTCTGAGAGCACCACCCTGCCTCGGCCGTCAGGGCCATCAGGTCCCGTGATAAGGACGTTGGCTGGCTTCAGGTCCCGGTGCACTGAGAGCAGAGCAGAGCTGAGTGCTGTGGTGGGGAATGAGGAAGGTGGGGCTGGGACGGGGGGGGGGGGGGGGGGGCGGGGCCGGATACTACCTATATGTAAGGAATGCAGGTGCGCCAGGCCACACATCAGCTGCTGCAGTGCCGTCAAGGGCTCCAGGCCCCAGCGCTCCAGCTCTGGGTTTTCTACGTACTGAAGAGGTGGGGGACAGTGTCACTGTGTAACCTGGGACCCCCCCCCCCCCCCCCCCCCCACTGCCCCTCTGAGCTCTGGCTCACCTCTTGCAAGGAGGCCTGGCAGAGCTCCAGGGCTATGTAGTGGAACTGGGGTCCCCGCTCGGTGCAAAAGTAGCGGAGCACATTGGGATGCCTGTCCGACTCCTGCAGCAGCTGGACCTCCCTCTGGACCAGGCCGAAGCATTCACGGAGCAGCCGCTTCACAGCCACTGCTCGCCCCTCCAACTGGCCCCTGGGGAGGTGTGGTTCAGAGAGGGAAGACATGGAAAAAGTTCCTGCATCTGCCTCAGCGAGCCTTTGAAGAATGGCCCCCCGAAAGACAGTGGCCCAAAGCGCCATGAAAGCCGTATCTCCAGTCCAGCTTCTGGCTACCTACTCACCGGAAAACGAACGTCCCGCCTGCCCCGCGGCCCAGCACGTCCTTGGGGTTGAAGGAAATCTTGCCCACCACGGTAAGCTGCTCAGCTGAGGGGAGGGGGGCAGGCACAGTCTCAGGGAGCCTCTGCTCAGTCTAGACCCGCCACGGCCTCAACCTTTCTCTGGACTCCCACCCTCCATGCCCAGCCTGGGCCTGCCGCTTGCTCTTTGGGTGTCCTTGGCAAGTGACTTAAACCCCTATGCCCTCAGTTTTCTCATCTGTAAAGTGGGACCCATGTTGATGATCCCGCACAGCATTACTGTGGATTAAATGAATGTGTGGAAGGAGATAGATAATCCTGCTAGATTATCTTCCTTATTCTTCCTCTTCTGGCATTTTCTGCCCAGATTTCCTTATTTACTTCCTCTGCCATTCTCCCCACCTCCACCTGTTAAAATAAACCCTTTTCATTGATGAACTGGCTTCAAATAGGAAGGTGGGCTTGGCAGCGGACAGCATGGTGAGGGTGAGTGCAGTCCCGGGAAAGACTGCCCCCCCCCGGATGGGAGGGGGCAGCAATGGGCATTTGGATGCAAACCTGTCCCAGAGTTCGTTCTAGGGTAGCAGGAGCCCCTGGAATGCCTTGGTTTCCTATTAAGAAGGATGGGGTTGGCTCAGGCAGGCAGAGGTCGGTAGACTTGGACAGTTACTGCTCTTCCCTATGGGTAGCTTGTGAGACACCCCTCACAATGACCCAGGCATGTCTCGCCAGGCTGCCCCCTGCTCAGCTCCGAGGGACACCATTCATACAGCTAAATGTACATGGGGTCCCAAGAGTTGTGCAGTATGGTGGCCCCAAGAACACTCTAATCAGGAAGGGCTGCCCACTTCAGTCTCTGCAATTAGCTCTAGGAAAAGCAAATGAGAATCCACATCTGGACCAGTGAGAAAAGTACCAAGCTGCCCCTCAGCATTGCTCTGGATTATTTTGGTAAAAATTCACTCTCATCTGTTGGCAAGATGCAGGCAATAACCTAGATTTGTGTACCCTGGCCTCTCAGGAGTGGCTAGGCTCACGGCCTGGAAGCACAGGTGGGAGTGGACCCATTTCTGGCAGCTCAGAAGGCAGGGATAGAGTTGCTGGGCTCTGACGGACTCTGGTGGTGAGGGGTGAATGAAGGACAATGGCAAGAAGAACCACACGGTGCTTTGATGAGAGCCATCCTGGGAAAAGAGGCAGTCTGTCCTGTCTGGGAAAAGATCCAGCTGAATATGAAGACCCCAGGAGATGAGCGTTTCAGGGTGCAGTGGGTACGAGTATTATGTGGACCCACTCAGAGCCAGTAAAGTGACAAGCACTGCAACACCTCGGGGCTCAGGCTCCTTCTCAGTTGCG